GGGCTTAGGTCATTAAATCAATTAAGTATGGATTTCTCAATGGCCTAAACGCGTCAGTTTCTTTGAAAAATGAAGGACCTTTCAATACCGTTAGTATACGTTTAACATGGAGTGAATTATTTAATTACTTTGTACATACATTTACATAGTACGGTCATTTAAGCTAAATTAAGATAAATTCTTTAAAGAATTGGAAACTGTTTCACAGATTCTACTCTCTTTAAAGTTTACTTAAGTTAAGTAAGTCATATGAGGTATATTGATGGTTATACAAAAGAATTAAAAACGTATACTTACGTAATACGTTATTTATATCTTGCGTAATTATTGTCATAATTTTTTTATTGCTATGTCTCGAATCTTGATTTAATGTCATTTCTATTAATTAAAAATGTTTCATTTAGCTGTTTACTTAGATGCGGTACCCACTCTGTAGTAAACTTATAATCTGTAATCCATACATAATACAGTTCCCGCCAAAATTCAGTGGCGCCAACTTTAAGACGCCCGGGGCCGCGGCGCGTGCTTTGTGTTTCATTAAAATAAATATAATTATAGTCATTAGAGATTTTACGTATCGCAGAGGTCCAAGCTAATCGTTGGTGGCAACAAGAAACGATTATTGGTACTAAATATATGCTTATACATATTTTCTAAAATATGATTTTTTAGGTAATGTTTTAACGATATTTTACTTTATAATAATTTTTTATGATTCTATACTTTCAGTTTATGTGCCACCTACGTCTTCAAAAAGGAACTACAACACAACATTCTTCACTTCGTTCTCTGCGATTCTGAATAACAACGAAACTCGATTTGTTACTTTAGTCATAGATGGCGCTCACAAAGTTTGACTTTTTGTGGCGTTAAAGACTTCAACAAAAATGCAACAGAGGGCACTGTTATAAAATTATAGACTTCTATATAATATTTTATATATATATTTTTTATTATATATATTTTACTTAATCGATGAATATACGAGGAAGTAATTATACTATAAATCAATAGATTAGAATGATTTCTTCAGTAAAATATAATAATTTTATTAACATATTACACATACATAATTATTATATTATCCTGTGAAAGTACACAACTTGAAGAGATTTTAAGCTTGGTTTGAATTTGTATAGAATATAGATACTATTTCCCATAAATAATAATTCATTGATCCCTTTTTATTAAGTGTGCCCTTAGCAAAAAGAATCTTATTTCACATTTTTTCTAATGCTTATAGTACTGGATAAGCTAACACTCATTGCTGTTAATTAAAATAATAAAAAAAAATGTATCTTCAAACTCGTAATCTAAGCTCGCATTTTTGTAAAATTGTGTAAATTTTTACAGTTGTGAAGCTAAAAGTGAAAACTTTTAATTGGCTCTCTGATATGTAAAATTTTGTATATAATATTCTATGTTATTAGCTGTAAGTTTTCCATGTTTTAATAAATAAATAAATAATTAACTAATTAGTAAGTATTCCTTATGTAAGCCAAAGGTAAGTTTAAACGATATTTATTAAATTACAAACATTTAGTATACCGTCAATACATTAGCAATAATATTGTCTTAATTATATAAGAAGTATGACAATAAAAACACCAAGGACATTTTTTCCGAAATTTTATATTAACGGAAAGTTATGGATTTTCACAAAACGATACAGTTTATTGTCGTTTTCGTGCCAGAAAGGACGTGGTGTCTAAATAAGACTTAACTTGTGTTTATAGAAGGTAATATTTTTTTCAATAAACGGGTTTAGCATAACCCAGTAGTCAAGGCCCATTCAAGTCGGCACGATTTAACTACCTACTCGAGTAAAAAGTAAACAAACTTACGGTTAATTTTGAGCAAATAATTTCTAAAAGCATTAAACAACTTATGAATAATGTAACCCAAAAATAAAAGTATGAAACTAAATAAACCACTCTAACAGTTTAAAACGCGATATATATTAGTTAAACTTATTTGAATATTATTTTTAACTTCGGCCCGTCGTTTCGGATACTTTGCAGCAGCGTTATCGCGTTTTAAACCGTTAAAGTGTACTACTCGCGTAAACTACAGACAGTATTTAGTTTGAAGCTATTTATCGATACGTTATTAAAAGTTACTGATATTCCACTATATTGATTGCTGATAAGATATTGTTGCCCATGATTATTTTATGCTGGCATTAATTGTATTGAATATTTCGTTCGCTTTTGTTATTGTACTGTTGCCCGTTAGTAAAACGTGAGTGGAATTACACTTCATATAACAAGAAATCCTTTAAATATAACAAGGAAATAGTGAAAAATAAGGGAAAAATGCTTAGTTTTGAAATAATATAAGGCAGCTAAAGGCAGAGTAGCCTAATTGCAATTTTAAGGCTTGAGATATTTATCTTTTCATAGTCTAAAATGTTGATCCACAAGAGCACAGTGACCGAAAATTGTTAACATAATCCCTACACAAATAATAGTACAAATTCATTTTCGCCTAAGTAAATAGCGCATATATATTTTCCTCCTTATTGAAAATCATGTTTTTTGTTATTACTACTACTAAATTGCACGGATGAGCTAATATAAAATAACTTCGAAATATTTTTCGTAAATATATTGCTATAAATACAGATTTTGACGTGGTTATTTTTCTAGTGGCATGTTTACAATTGTAGACTTTTGTTGATCGTTACTCAGACATTAATAATTATTATGCAACGTCATAACAGTTTAGATCATATAGTCGGTCATTTGACATAACAGCATCCGGCATAGATTATAGGATGATAAAACTGTAAGTAAGAGGCAGAAAATACAAGAACGTCTTATCACCGAGTAATCACCAGTAAAAAATAAAAAACGAAGTTCTATTTTAATTTAAAAAAATCAAGCTGCGTCAGCGACTTCGTCCGCGTTGAATAGTCATTTTTGGCATTCAACTTTGTTTACGGAAACCTCCTCTGCATCTTTATAAATTTATACATCGACGACGTTCTTACAAGTTTATCTATCTATATGTATAGCGTCGCAGCTCTTTTTTTATAGATCATTTAAAAAGGAATCATTCTTTCATACAATTTTTTTGGTATCTAACTGTTTTCGCAGCGTACGCATCGAAAAGCCACAGGGATGAAGATTTTTCCTGCTTCTTCGCTCCTATTAGTTACAGCGCGATGTTTCATGGCCTATATATATATAGCCTTCGTCGATAAATGTTCCAAGTAACACAAACATAATTTTTCAATTCGAACCAGTAAGATTAGCGCGTTTAAACAAACAAACTCTTCAGCTTTATATATTAGGATAGATAGATAGATAAGGATTGTATGCAGTTTAGGTGAGTAGTACAAATTAACCAGAAAATTACCACGGTTCCTGCTAAGGATCCAAAACGTCGGGCCGTAGTGAAATTAAAATAAATAAAAATAAGTTATCTAATATATTTCGCGTTTTGAACCGTTTTAAAGTGTAGTAAAATTGTTTTATCTAAAGTAAATAAGGCTTCTGTGGCCATTCTGGCAAGCTACGCGGGTTTTCAACGATAGGTACGACAACTCGATGTCTACCATTCGTGCACAATCATGTTAATCAAATCTTCGGCCGTTATACATTTATTTATATGCACTTTTCAATTCAACGTACATAAGTCTGCTAGAGCAGTGTTTTTTGAAAATGTGTTCTTAATGAAAACACTATATTTTTCCACAATTTCTACACACAATCGGCAAAATATAATAGCAATTAAATTAATTATGATATTTGATTGTGACACGTGAGTAAGAAGATGCAACATAGTATACAACAAAGTGAGGATAACTTATGTAATACTTAGGGTTGCCAGCGGCAAAAGGTACAGAAGAAAAATTATTGTACTGGCCTCTATTAGTTCCCTCTTTGTCTTCAACATTCAAACTTGTGGCTCTGAAAGTTTTTTTTTATAAAATTGTATTCAAAACCTTACAACAGATTATATTTTGTTACTCACATAACATAACAGATTAAAAATATCTTTGTTTATTTATAACAAATGAAAGGCAAAGATCTAATGAAATGTTTGTAAATAAATATCTACTCGTGTATATTAAAAATAATTGTTCGTAACCCTGCTGCTTAGGTTAAAGATCATACAAGTCGCCACTAACTAGTATAGCAGTATATTTTTAACGAAACAAGTCGTGCTATCATCTGTTATCGCAAAGTGGATTTAATATTTAATAATCGTGAGTGAATGTTATGACATTTATTTTAATCAGCAAAAAATAATTCAGATATAACTATGGCAATTCTGCCTAATGTTAAACCAACCTAAATGAAGTCAACCAACCTTGAAGGAAGAAAGAAAATATGAGACACTGAATTTTACATATGCAAGACGGATCTAAAATTAATTTATTTATAAATAAAACACGTTTAACGTAAATTACTTAGCTTATCTTGAGCCGTTAAAATTTATTTGCTATATAAACCTGAAAGTTACCGAAAAAGTATGTACAATAAAAAAATATTTTTATTGTACCTACATATTTTTCAAATAATCTTTTGAGAATAGGATTACTAAAAACTGTTTTTATGATAGTCTAATTTAATTAAAGCATTTGTAGTCGAGTACACTAATAACTAGACCAACGAGGCAAATAAGCACTTAAGTAAAATCCCGTTTCCCCGTGGAGAATGGGGCGAACACATTTCTGTGTCTGTTTCACTGATCCGTTCTCTTTAACAGGCAAGTAGTTGATCAGACTTCTGTGCCCTAGCCAACCGGAACGACATTTTTTGTTTCCCTGGGATTCGAACCCATGACCTCTCGCGCATAACGCAAAGCTAGGCTTCGTTTAAGCATTTGGCTACAGAGGCGGCAAATAAGCACTAAAGTACAAGAAACAATAATTAGTAAATCACTTTTAACGGTTTAAAACGCGAAATATATTACTTAAGACAACTTAAGCCAACGGTTAATTAATATTTGTTGCGTTTTAAATTGCATAATTAATAATTTTCAGATACACGATGGACTACACGTATCACCGTATATTCGGTTATACAACGGCCATGTTGGTGCAAACCGCGAACTTGTCTTATCTGGCCATACATTTGCCGCCGAAGACTTTTGACGACCCAAATCTAGTCGTGTTGAAGAACCTACAGCCGAGATTTTTCACGATATGGAACGTAGTAAGTAATTAGTGAATTTATAATCAATTATGTTTTTTTTTTAAATACGACACGAGGAGGACTCGGGGAATACAGCGTTCCGTGCTGTTTCTCTAACCAATTGAGCTACCGTGTCTTACACGTCATCGTCGAATCTTTTCTACCTATTGTTACGTGCACCTCTCGCGCAATGTCATTTCAACCTTAACACTTACACTTTAGCTCAAATAAAACTCTTTAAACGGTTTAAAACGCGAGAAGTAAAGTTATTTTTTAATTTTAATTTTACTACTTGCGAAACGGCGGGCCGTAGAATAAAAAATTAAAAACTATATTTCGTAATAATTCATAAATTATTAACCTAACCCCATACCTTGCGGTATCTTTATTCTCTATCACTTCATTGATGCCTAGATTTTGTTTCAAATATGCCAAATCGAACCTACGACCCTAGTATTAATCATTGCCTCTTGCCACTTTTGCACTAAATATTAAGCTTCTTGACTCACATAATTTTATATAATAAATTTCACATAATTTCAAATATTATAAGGACTAATGACGGTTAATATTTCTTAATTTCTATTATAATTGTGTTGAGTAAAAACAGTTTGAAGATCACCTTTATAATGTTATAAATTATTAGGAAGTTATTATCTAAATGTATTTCGTTAAATGACTCTCGTCCAAGGGCGAATAATTCAAAACTTGGTATTTTCTTGCCTATGAAGTTTACTATAATGGTAAAATTTATTAAAAAAAAATATTTTTTTACATTTCCACAATAAAATTGATTAAAACATTTCGCCGCTAATAGGAATCAGAAACGTCGGGTCGTAGTTAAACATAGGTTATCTAATAAATTTCGCGATTTGAACAGTTAAAACTGTTTAATTATGAATACTGCTCGCGTTAACCACACATATTAGGTAGATATCCTTACATTTTTATATCTTAAGATTTACAAAAAAAATATTATCTTGTATCAATATTCCGAGAAGTTTGATTCCAATAAAACTAAAGGAGATTTTACGAAATGTGGTTTGCATTTTCTAAATATAAGTTATTACATTTCACGTTTATAATCGATAAACGTGTTTTATTTTAATGTGTATAATGTCGTTTACGCTAGTAGTACTTAAAGTAGGAAACCAGTTAGATTCCAGAAATCACCTTTACCCATTTGATATCCAGATTTCCAGAAAAAGTATAAATTGATTAGAGACAATATGTAGTACTCGGTTGAACCCACGCATTGAAACTATACACCAACCACCCGTCAAACAACTCGAAAACATTAGTACCGAATCTGAATCTTTTACTATAAAGCTAGCGCGTTTAAATACTGTCTACAGTTTACGCGAGTAGTACACATTTAAATAAAACACTTCAACGGTTTAAAACGCGATGTATTAGTTAAACTTATTTGAAAACGATTTTTAACTTCGGCCCGACGTTTCGGATGCTTTGCAGCAGCCGTTTGCCAGTGTTTTATTTAAACTTCTAGCGCGTTTACTTTATTATTCTCAAATAGGTTACTCTTCCTTTCAGATAATACAGATAATTTATTCTGCCGTGAGCTTGTGGTGCGAAATATCGACTTTGAAGAATTCAGAGAAAGGGGATTTCAAATTGTCAAAATACGTCCGAAGGTTCAGAGATGTATTGTTTTCCAGTGTCATGTGGCCGTCTACTTGGGTGAGTTTAATTTCTATTAAACCAGCTGTGTCAGCGACTTCGTTCGTGTAGAATATATTCGGTATCAAAATTATTTTTTGCAAATCTCCTTATCTTTATGAATTTAAGCTGTTACTCACGACGTCGGTCGCGTCCGGCGTTCTTGCCAGTTAATCTCAAAAGATAGACACGTATCTACTATCGAGGACATTATTTTAGATCGTTTAAAGAGGAATCATTCTTTCGTATGCCTTTTTTTGGTATCTTGAACCGTTTTGACACGCGTAGGCATTGGAAACTCACAATGTTGAATAATTTTCCCCGTTTTCACTTTACTCGATAAATGCTCTAATCAACACAAAAATATTGTATTATTTAGATCTTTAGATTTTTATTTCTTTAGATCTATGACGTGAGACGTTGTTATGGCATTTCCCACTATGGCGGAGCACCTAATTCGATTGTAAGCCTTAATTTTATTTGTTGTAAATTGTATTAATTAGATTTTTTGTTACAGGTCGTTGCTATAGTATTTTGGACTCTATACAACTACGACAGAGATCTCATCTTCCCAAAACACACAGAACAACTACTTAATCCAGTGTCCAATCACATAATGCACACTTTGATCGTTCCATTTGCGATCTGGGAGCTAGTTTATCGGCAGAGAAGAGAACCTAAAACCCATCGGAAATACTTTTACCATCTAGTGTTTCACTTTGCGTTATATTTCGTAGTGTAAGTATGTTTATCATTAGGTATTATACTTTGATTCTATATCTTATTGAATGAAAGTAAAGATCTTTAGTCTTTTAAACTATTACTAAGACCTAATCTACACGAAATAATTCATGAAAACTGACGTTCTTTTGTTTTATATTATGATAATCTGACGAATTTTCGTCGTCCATGTTTATTTTTGTCAAATTGGTTACGATTATGTTTTTATAACAATTTAGTTAAACACGTTCTTGTATAACTTTAGCTTAGTAAGGCTTCACTTTCTCAAAATTTTAACAAAACAAATAATATTTATTTTTTGTTTTTTTAGCTAAACTCACTCGCAATAAGAATAAATAAGAAAAAATAATGATGCTAATAAAACCAATCCAATAATACCATAATATAATACTTATTTCTAAATGTAGGTATATTCGTGATATGTAAAAAGTCTTTTAGCAAAGTCTAAATCTAACATTTTTCGTGTAATAAATGCACAGGATCTTTTTTTTTACCGATTACCTAGATGATAGAAATTATATCACGAGATCAAGGTTTGAATATTGAATAGTGACATACTCTAAGATTATTCTTGCGTTTTTAGTATGTTTTTCTGGTGTTTCTTTGCATTACTATTTTGAATATAAAACCTCTAGTTTAAATTCGATCACAAAATTATATGTAACGACCATAATAAACTTCCCACTTATAAATTGTGTAAGGCTTTCACGGCCATCGTTCAGCATATCATTGTTTTTCGGGCTCTTCGGCTGACGTAAGCGAGAAGAGGTAACATCTACTGATGATGCCGTCCGCTCGTAATGGCGAAACGTCGAGAACCTCTTCTGGCTTACGTAGGCCGAAGAGCCCGAAAAACAATGATATATTAAAAAGTATAGTAAAGAAACAATAATGATTATTTTTTTACTTTTCAGAATCACCTATACGTTCATAGAAAGGGGTATATGGATCTATCCCATTTTTACTAAGCTGTACGGAACCATTTTCTTTCCTCTAATCCACATATCGATATGTGCGATCGCTCTATCTGCTTATTTCATTCAATGGCCACTTAGTGATTATATATGGCAGCAAGGTGTCAAAAAAGTGAATTAAACTTGTGTATTGGTGATAACCTGTGTTTTATTTCAAACTAGCTGATGCGGCAGACGTTTTGTCGTTTAAGCAAGATTAAAATTATTATCTTGATAGAAATAATTGGTAACAATGCATTAAATTAGACCTAATTTGATTACCACACAGTTGATTAACGGACAAACGTTGTATTTGCTTATCGTTAAAAAAATTTTTCGCGAAAACCAATTTATCACTGTAAAAGACATATTTCATTCAAATATTAAACGATAATACAGTACTCCGTCGAAGTTGGCCGGGTCCTTACAGAATTAACTAACGGTGTCTTCGCGTTTGCCTGTATGCTGTTTAAATTTTTTTAAGTTCTCTAAAAAAGTTCAATTCTGTAAGGACCCGGCCAGTTTCGCCAAAAACCAACTTCGACGGAACAGATGGCACTAGCGTAGCAATTTTTTACTTTGACGTCAGAGACATCCTCCATCTCTAGTCTCCCCGGGACCACGGCTGCTAAAAAGCATTTTCGAAATGCAAGTTAAAAATAATTCGTTCAAACCATTTAAGTGTTTTATTTAAATGTGTACTCGCGTAAACTATAGACAGTATTTAATACAATAATTGTTTACACTTAAATCGAAGTTTCCGATTACATCTTTATTTTATAGTCGTCAAATTACATATATGCACGCATGCTACAAATTAAATGGTGAAAATATACAGACAAGGGACTTACTTGATTTAAATGATTCTATCTACATCTGAATAAGTTTAAGATTTGGGGGTTAGGCAGTCGGTAGTCCACAGACTGTTATAGCCTCGTGGCTAAAACTGTTTTCGTTCTGACCAACAATATTTAATTTTGAAATAAATAATAATAATAAATCTCTCTACAGACATTCATTTCGTACATTACTGATATATAAATTTGTGTTCTATTTATGTAAAGAGATTAAATCAAATTTGAAAAGTGTTAATAAAAGGGTCTTTGCGTGAGCATTAATTGAAGCGACACTGATTTTTAGCGTGCGCCCGTTAGACAGTTAATTGTTATTTTATAAATAGTGAATAAAGCGAGGAATCATTATTAAGGAAGGCATTGGATCACCATTGCAATAATACGAAAATTGAATACTGTGTATAATTTGCGAGTAGTACACATTTATATAAAACACTTTAACGGTTTAAAACGCGACATATTAGTTAAACTTATTTGAAAATTACTTTTAACTTCGGCACGACGTTTCGGATGACTTTGCAGCAGCCGTGGTCACGGGGAGACTCCACGTAATAATATATCGCGTTTTAAACCGTTAAAGTGTTTTATTTAAATAATACGAACATGTTGGGCTCGGTAAAAATCGAACCCACGAGCCATTAGTTATTAGCCCTTCTGGACCAACGGTCACGAAGATACACTTTTGTCGATACGTCTCTGTAGAATATGGTGTTAGGTCCATATCAAGGGCTTAACTACTTCAAAACCGATTATTAGAAAGTACAAATAAAAACAAGAGAATCGAGAAACGATTGCTTACAATCTTTCGAACTTTCGAAAAAACAAATAAACCAACTTTACTTGCACCTCCATTACCAGTTATTCTTGACTTTAACTGGTAATAACGGTTAGCGTTTTAAGAGACCACCTTATGGTGGTCGTTAGAACGAGACGCATCGATTTGTGTTAGAGTGTTTTGGAGTTAGATGCATGGAAATAAAGTTGAAAATTGTATGAACGTGATTAATACTTCTAGGTAAATTAAACATGTGTTTGATGTAACTCTTATTTTAAGGGTATAAAGTCTAAATTGGCGTGATTCAGGTAACAATGCACTTATGAACTAGGATAGGATGCATTCCACTTTTCACGGTCAAGAGTACCTGTGTTGTCGTGGAAGAAAATTTGCCAATTTCTAGGGTAAATTATCATAAATGAAAAAATGGAAAAGACAATATTTCTTATCTATCTACAATATTACAAAAGTGAATGGCTTATATTGAGGAAAATTCTGTGTGTACATAATGATAATAAAACTCAATACTAAGTCTAATATTGATCAAATTTAGTGACAAACTCGTAAAATAATAAAAAAAATGTTTGTCCATTATACTTTATTTGTTTAAAAAATCTGCTATATTCGAGACCCTGACAATATATTATTATTTTAGACTAAAATGTCAGTCACGATAATATAACAACAAAATGGTGTTAATTAAAGCAAAACACTGGCAACCCTGACCAAAATGCATCACTTTGCGTCTATATCTATCGATAAACGCACGAGCGCATAGACTAAAGAATAGAATGTGAGCCCGCGAATTCGACTTGAAATTGCAAAATGGCGTTCGTTTCCCGCGTTTTTCGTCGCGCGTCAACATTTTACTGTCAAAAACGCTTCGAAACAACTGTGGCTAGTCTGACTAAGGACGAGATCTTGATCCTTTTACGACCACCGTTTACAAATTGGAGCAATGCCATCCGGGAGGCGGAGAAAGTGGTCGGGTATCCGACATCTTTCATGAATTTAAGGTGTCTCCTGAGCGATGAGTTTGCCAATCTGGCGTTGTATTTGCGAAAATTGGTGAGTAAAAATGTCATTAATATCATATGATGACAGTTACTATAGATTATTTTTCTAAATCGCGAGTTATAAATTACTAAAGAGGTTCTGTTTAATAGACCTAATTCATAAAATATATACCTATTTGATTGAAAGAAAAAGCTATGAAAATATTTTTCGAAATAATTTGAACTCTAATCATTAAGAAAATTTATACCTACCTAGTTACCTAAGTATTCGATTTGTTGTGTTCGTACTTTTTTAAACTTTAAGTGAGTTATATATTTATATAAGCTTACGTTATTTATTGTTTATTGCTCAAAAGCTACATTTATTCCATTTAGTGACCATTTTTACTTGAATTAGGTAAAGTGCATTGCGATATGTAAAATACATTTCCCGTTGTTTCCCCGAGATTCGAATTCAAACGGTCATGCTTAAGACAATGATTGATAACGCGTCCAAAGCCAAACGATTGAACTACAGAGACTATTTATCACAAAGTAATAAAAGGCATAGAAGTGCGTCGCATTCTTAGAGTTTTAACGACATCGAGTTCATCAAAGCGTGTTCAAGCATAACGTGCTACAGTTAGCAGTAACCGCTTCGTGAAAGTCCACTTTCCGTATTTTCATTTTACTTGCGCTTAATTGGAATTTATCTATTCTGCATTAGTCTTGCTTCCAATACTGGTTTTCTGAGCTTAGCTACTTTAAATAAAACGCCTAACTTTTTAAATTAAAAATCGGTCAAAAATTGAAAAAAATTACGACACTGGCCAGGACATGATCCGACATCCACAGCGTTCCGTGCTGTTGCTCTAGCTGTATATAGTGCCATCATATGAGATAACATGCAAAAAAAAAAAAGTTTTCACGCTTTACTTTTTAAAATGCGAAATGCTAAGCATCCGAAACGCCCTATACCTACTATAATCCCTAACAAAAATATATTTTATATAGTCACTACATACTACAATTCGCGTTTTAAACCGTTAAAAGTGTTATATTTAAATTTGTACTATCGTAAACAATACGATACCTAAGCTCAGCTAATCAACGCATCGTAGGTTCAATTTCCATCGACTTCATTCGTCCATTAAGTAGGTAGGTTGTAAGGTATCGATGGTTAGAAAATAAACGATAGGTATTTTAAAATTTTGACGAATCCGTGTACTACTACTAAAGTTAAAAGGAATCTCACGGGTGAGATTCAAATTTCTTTCTTTTCTGTATGTGAAATTTCGTTTTTGAAATAAAGATAAGAAGGAAAACAGTTTTTTATTTGCCATCATCATTTTTACGTAACTTAGATAGCAGTAAAATTAACTAATTTTCGACTTAACAATATAAATTACAAATTGATTTAAGAATGATTTAGTACGTTTTAGTGTTTCACAGTCGTACCTACCTAGTATTAGGCATTTACACTGTGCTAGGCTATATGTTTGCTTAAAAACTTTAATATGTTTTACATGTTAATGCACTTGAAGGCATTATATAATTTAAAAATCGAAAATAAATTGATTTTTTTTTCTCTGCCCGAGACGAATTTTTTTTTAAATTTTTTTTTGTATTTTTAAACTACTATATGTTTGTGTTTCTTTAAATATTAAGGTTATTATTTAGTTAAAGATTTTAGTTGGATTTAAATTCTTGTAGGTTGGCAGCAACCACCTAGTAATGCAAACGGCCAAAAACGTTCTCTACGGCGACTCTAAAAACCTTCAGCCGTGGGGTCTCATTATCCTGCTCTTGTCGAAATCGGTGAAGATCAGATCAACGCAGACGAAGATGATTGAGGAACAACAGAGGCAATTGGCGGAGTTGACTGAAATGATGCGGACTGGTCATCTTATACATAGAGGTAATTATATCACGTAGGCCTCACTAGTGCTGGCCGAAGATCTAATCCGTAGGCGTGCCCACTAAGCGACAATTGACGCGCGACATTCTGAACACAAAGTTGCCTAGCGTGTTTAGTCAGCACGGAATTCTTGTTGAAGGGCAATTCATTTTAAGCAAGCTCTCATACACAATTATATACCAACTAGAACCAGAAAACGTCGTTTAGTTGTTTGCAAGAGTAATGTTCATATACTAACAATTTGTAATAATGTATTATTCTCGACCTAATCTTATGATCGTGAAATCGGTTCCTACGAGTTAATCTCAAAAGATAGACATTTTTAAAACATAGGTATAAAGAAACCAAAAACGGTTTCTTGAACCGTTTTCGAAGCGCACGCAAGGAAGCCCTTATATAAAAAGTCCTTGAATTTAAATGAAACACTTTAACAGTTTAAAACGCGATATATTGGTTAAACTGATTTAAAAATGATTTTTATCTTCGGCCCGACGTTTCGGATGCTTTGCAGCAGCCGTGGTCACGGGGAGGGGTCAGTCTCCCCGTGCAACGTTTTAAACCGTTAAATTTGTTTTATTTACATGCGTACTACTCGCGTAAACTATAGACAGTATTTAAGCCCTTGAATACTATTTATTATTAACACTCTCTTCTACTAGCACGACTCTTGTTAATCATAAAAATCGCATCAAAATATGTTTATCCAAACGTTCGTATTTACTTTCTGTTACTTAGTTTATAATCACCACAAATAGTCAAAATGTCAACATTCCATCTAAAAATAAAAACCTATATGTGAAAGTAATTTCTCAGTTAATTTAGCTGTTGATTTGTTTTTTTTATTATTATTATTTAATATGGACGTTTCATTTGCGAGAGGGCTTGTGTTTTTATTTCAATTTTTTTGTCATCTTTTGCGTCAGATCCATTGCTCAGAACTAGTCATGTTGTACCTTTGTACTGTAGTTATCTGCTATGTTACAGGAATCGTCAATGTTCCCTTCGCGAAGAGATCAAAGAACACAGAATCCGCCATATTCGGCAACAAAATAGCCATCCTCCTCGGAGACTACCTCCTTGTTACAGCCAACGCGATGCTGGCCGGTCTCAAGAACGCTGATGTCTTATACATTGTATCGACGGCATTGAGAGACCTCTCTGAAGCGGAATTCTTCGGCGATAGGGACGAGCAGAACATGCCTTTGCCGGGGAAACCGAAAATCTGCAAGGACGAAAGCATAACATTTGACACGACGTCCATAGAGGTCGACGACGTGCTCGGTAAGCCGAGGAAAGAGTGGACGGCGCGCACAGTTTTCAACGGCGTCAGTCTGCTAGGACGAGGCTGTCAATCCGCCATGATACTGGGCAAGCAGAACCGAGAGACGCAGAGCAACGCTTATAACTTCGGCTGTCATGTTGGCTTAGCCTGGCAGGCTGCTACGGAACTACAGGTCTTACAGTCAGACAACAAGGACAGATTTTGCTTAGCCAGTGCACCGGTTTTGTTCGCGTTAGAAGAAAACCCCGAGTTGTATAAGATCATCGATCAAGCGAAGAACGACGTGAAGGATGTCGATTACGAAGATCTGAAATTCAATATCTTGAAAACGGACGCCGTGGACAAGACTAAAATGCTGTATGACGACCATTCGAAGAGGGCGACGGCGTATATACAGAATATTGCCAGAAACGACACGGTGGACATGATCAAGAAATTAATTAATACGTTTTAATCTGACAATTTTTTTCATTAAATATGATGTTTGTTTAAGTAAAAAATCTTGGACTTAAAATTATTTATTTCAGTAGCAATAGCATAACAGTTGTTCATAACTGAATTAAATTATAATAAAGGAAAATGTTTTTTAAATACTGTCTATAGTTTACGCGAGTAGTACATATTTAAATAAAACACTTTAACGGTTTAAAACGCGATATATTAGTTACGGGGAAACCCGTGACCACGGCTGCTGCAAAGTATCCGAAACGTCAGGCCGAAGTTAAACATCATTTTCAAATAAGTTTAACTAATATATCGCGTTTTAAACCGTTAAAGTGTTTTATTTAATACTTTTTTTATTAAATTATTTAATTAATAGCAATTTTAACAACAAACGAGAGCTTATAATCTACACATACAAATATATAAAGCTGAAGAGTTTGTTACTTTGTTTGAAAGCGCTAATCTCAGGATCTACTTGTTCGAATTGAAAAAAAAATTTTGTGATGTGTAGAGCATTTATCGAGGAAGGCTATAGGCTATACAAACATTGTGATGTGACTAATAGGAGCGAAGAAACAGCGGGTATTGTGAAAAAAACCGGGGAAAATTATTCGATATTATGGGTTGCAACGTTGCGGTTTAAGATACTCAAATTTTGAAAGATTTATTTTAATGTATGAAAGAGTGTTTCCTCTTTACATTATCTGAAAAAAATTCCGCGACGCTAAATGTATATCTTGTAAAATTAACTTGCAAGAATGGCGGGAAGGGACGCGATCGACGTCGTGGGTAACAGCTTAAGATTGGGTGGGTTTTACAAATACGAAATTGGATGCTCAAAGTAACGATTCTCGCGGACGACGTTGCTATCACAGCTAGTATATAATTTAAGTATAAAGCAAAAACTTTTATCACTAATAAAATAATTTAAATTGAAAAATAAATTACAATTAATCTTTCTTTTCAGTCTTATTTATGATGATCAAAGACTAGGTCTGGGTTATATTAATTACATACGTGTGTGTGTTCCTAGATCGTAAGTTATCAGAAATAAAATGATATAAATTTTATTACAGTAGTATTAATCTAAAATAAAGCGACAAAAATCTGACCGATAGATGGCACTTAAAAAAATAAAGAATTATCATTGAATATTAAAAATGTACCAATAAAAATTGAACTAGAACCAGTAATGATTAATAATAAATAAGGAAAATAGTATACATTATATATTTTTTAAATACTTATTTTAATGAAGCAGTATTATTTACACTTCATTAAGACTTTACATTTATAACAAAATTGACAGTGACAGTTGACTGATTAAAAACAAATACGGACTAGGTAGACGCTAATTATTTCTGTTTCCTCTCATCTTTACTAATGAATTTAAAGTATGCTTATATTTAAATGAATAAAAATGAGTGAAGAGGATAACCATTACTGCCGGTTATGTGCCGAGCCTACGCCAAAATCTCAGCTTATATCGCCCGAAGAAGACGTCGCTATCACTTCAAAAGTGGCTACGAAATTACTGTGGATAAACATTGATATATCTTTACCAAATTCCCTCCCTAATACTATATGTTTCGCCTGCTTCGATATGCTAGAGAGGACTTGGTCGTTCCTACATAATACGCGTTCTGCTCAAGACAAACTGTATACAATATTTCTTACAAAAGACACGACACTAAAGAACCAAACAACGACAGGTAACGTTGGAAAACCTGTGGACGAGAACTGGGAAGTTTTTCAAGAACTCAAGAAGGAGATAAAGTTGGAAGTGGTAGATGATTCAAAGCAAGTCAAATCTGAAAATGATAGCGATACGGATTTATTATTTCTGCGCCCAGATTACGACACCACCAATTCAACGGACAGTGACGTACCTTTGATCACTTCGAAGAGAAAAAAGTTGAAAACTAAGAAAGAATTCTCTTCAAAGAAGTTTAAAGTAGAAAAACCCATAAATCCACCTCCGGATACAGTGACCTGGGATGAACAGATGTGTCGCTGTGCCAAGTGCGATGCGCAGTGTGAGAACATATCATCCCTCCAACTTCACTCAATGCAGATACACAATCGGTGCTGCGTCTACAAATGCCTGGACTGTGATAAAATTCTTACCTCATTCAAAGCATTCATCAAACATGTCAGAACACATAAAGAATTGCTCCGCTATTGCTGTGAATTTTGCAACACCCTTTTCACTTTGACAACTAACTTGAAGGTGCACAGAAACAAAGATCATGCTGGTATATTCCTAACGAAATGTAGGAGTTGCGGAGCTGAGTTTGATAGTCCAGAACAGTTGCAAGAGCACAAATTAGTCTTCAGTAAGCGTCCAAAACGTTTGACAACACAGGAGGTCTATGATCTTAAATGTAAAGATTGTAATAAAGAGTTCAAGTCACGGAGCAACCTACAGCAACACAGGCAGGTTCACAAGGAACGTACTAGAGATTATTCGTGTCACATATGTGGCAAAATGTTCTTTACAAAGGGTACTTTAGGCACACACATGCTGATCCATGAGGACAGCAAACCATTTAAGTGTCCGTATTGTACTTTATCATTCAGAGCAAGAGGTAATCTTACGTCTCACATAAGTTTACATTCCGGTGTCAAACCGTTTGTCTGTGAACAGTGTGGGAAGAGCTTCAGAGTCAAACGACATTTGAAATCCCACTCAATAGTCCATACGGACTTAATGCCATATGTCTGTGAGTACTGTAACAAAACGTTTAGGTTTAAGACGAGATTAAATCTACACTTAAGGCAGCATACGGGAGCTAAGCCATACAAATGTTTGTTCTGCCAGAGAGATTTTACCAATGGCTCTAATTTTAAGAAACACATGAAGCGGAGACACGGTATAGATACTTCTAAGAATAAGACATATCAAGATCTTGTGGAGTTAGATGAAATAGAGGCGATTAACGGAGATGAGAAAAATTTGTAGGTGTTGAAACCAAATATATCATTTATTGGGTGTAGAGTTTGCCAGAGTTTAATATGCACTAAGTGTTAGCATGAATGTCCAAAGCCAAAAATGGGTAGACGGCACATCTTATTGAGATGTTATATGGCTAGGGTTTTTCTCCTATCACCTTGCTTGTCTGTCCTCTATTATTTAAAATAATAAGTTTATTGATATGTTTTATTATGTTAGAAACATACTTAATGGTTTTTAATGATCAAAACACATTTAACAATTACAAATTAAACTTACCCTCAATAAAAAAAAATAACTATTTCAGTTACAGTATCTTCACATTCAACTAAAATAAATCAAAGTATTAAAAAGTAAATACTCAGATATATTTAGCCACCCTGTAAAATTGTATATGAATGTTTAAATCTTAATTTTAGCAATTAAAATGTATTCTTATGCCATTCTATGTAAATTGATACTAATGTTATGTTTTAAGTTAGAAGTAATGTATATAAGTAGTAATAATAATGAATTTTTAAACTTGTTTTAAAAGTTTTATTTCTTACCCTTTCAAATGGTAGAAATATAGAAATCATTTATACTAATATTAGTACTCTTCAGCTGTATATATATAAAGACTTTGTTTGTTAGAACGCGTTAATCTCCCTATCTACTGGTTCGATTTCAATTTTTTTCGTGTTGGTTAGAGCATTTATTGAGGAAGGTTAAAGGAGCTAAGAAACAGCGGGATATGTCGAAAAAATTTAATTAAACCGTGACACTATAATATGTCTATATTATATCTATCTAATAAATAATAATAATAAATTTACAAAGATGCAGAGGGGGTTTGCTAAAACAAATTCTGATGCCCAAAAATCTACACGCACGAAGTCGCTGACACAGCTAGTGACATTATAAATGCGTGTTTGTTTTTTATATGACGTCACACTAATTCAACCGAGTATATAAAACACAAGTATTATAACAATAAGACATATTTGGAGCGTGACGTTTCAAGTTTCCCTTTGTCAGTCGAAAGTACTGCTAATTCATCTTATGTGTCCCGCAGTACCTAAAGTTCTTCATAACTTTGGTACGAAACGATGCTTCGATTGCACTTGCATTTAAATAAAACACTTCAACGGTTTAAAACGTGATTTATTTGAGTATATCTAAATTATTTAAAATACGGGCCGAGAGTTCTTATAATAGTTTTCTCATTTTAAGCCGTCTAATTTTAAAAGTGTTTTATTTAAATATCTACTATTCGCGTAAACTACCGACAGTACGTATACATGCATTTCAATTATACTTTCTATATATATATATTCGATTATAGTAAAGTGAACTTAGAAGACTAAAGATCGGCTTTCAAAATAAAAATCTATTTAATTGTGTCTAGTGGTTTATGAAGTACTTAGATTAGTTAAACAGACGAATAGATTACATGTACCTAAATCGTAGTGAAAACTTAGTAAAAATATATTGACCAGATTTCACATTTATATAATTTATTTATTTTTATATATTTATTAACTATGAAGACCATAGGAATGGTTTACCTTAATAAAATATAATATTACAGAGACGGCTATGAAATACGCATTTAACATCACTTTCCCTCTTTTTATTTCACCTTAAATGGTAGTCTTGAAGCGCAAAATAGGCTTATCGCCTTCAGTGTATGGATACAAAATATAAATAAGGAACGAGCATTAAAGAAATCACTTTTAAATACCGGTCAGTAACTAAAATTACTTAGATAAAGGAAGATATAAGGTAGGTAAGAATTATTTAAGGGATATGTATTATGTAGTTTTAGCTCAAACTAAGGAACTTGTTACCACCTATCCTATATTAATTGATCTTGCGATCTTGTATTATCGACATATTTTACAAATTATCTCCGTAATTAACATAGTATACTCTAAATAGTATAACATAGATTAAAATATATAGATACGGTTTGTAATTTCGTACCAAATTATTTACTATACAATTTTCCTATATAGTACATGGATGTATTTCTACTAGAATTACTAAAAATACTCAGTATTTAGAATTAAATTATTACTTACTATTAATAATATGCATAATCTACATTTCTTAAAACTATTTAGTGTCTACATAACGCGTATATATACTTAATATTATAGAAGATATGGATTCGACACCGAATATCCATATATATCCATGTCAGAAGTAAAATCTCTTACCAAGTTATAATTTGCATATAACGTAACTCATAAATAACAATATTTACAATATTCTATGATAACGCACAGCACGCGATCGTCTCGAGAGATAGGACTGCTACACACGGCGTACGTTATTAAAGATATGCGTATTTTCAATCTATCTAGATTTTTGTTAGTCTTATAGCCGTTTTCTAACTTGATAACCTAGAATTATTTAAGAAATAACTTGTGATAAAAAGTATTATGATAAAATACTGTCTGTACCTACTTTACGCGAGTAGTACTTACACATTTAATAAAACACTTTAACGGTCTCAAACGCGATATATATTAGTTAGTATAAGTGTTATGATAGAATATAATCTAGGAATATACAAGTATAGGCATTATTTCTTTTGTTTTTAAGAGCAAATGGACAAAACGTATGGTACAGTGTTTCCATCAGCGCTTGTTTCTTCATGCGGACAAAATTTACTAGTTAATGGGACAAATTGACCAAAGATTCTTTTATTTGTCAAGAAAATTGAGGCTTTTCCAAAATTGGCATTTCACCGCTATACTTCGAATAATCGGAAATATGTCAATACATATTGCAGTTAATACTATCCGAAGATATGTCTCAAGATATGTGCAATATGGCGGTCCCCCACAAACTGTGCCGTGCTCACTCACCGTACCGAAAACAATACCAGACGGAAACATTAGTTGACGACAAGGAGTAACGTCAAGCTGTCTCCCAAGTTAGCTAATAATAAAAAACAATATTTGTGAGAAACAATAAAACTTCGATCTATAAATGCTTCAGAGACAAAAAAGTGCATTAATTACTGTAAAGTAAGTGTCTTGACTTTCAAGATGGCGGTTAAAAAAGGCGCCTTTATTTTATTTGCTTTCTACACACGGTTCGCGTGCTGCGATTATTATCGAATGGTGAGTATATAATAAATCACTCATGAGAAATCTTGTGTATACGTTACTAAGGCTTTCAATACAATTTACGATATAAAACGGTCAAGTGTGAGTTGAATTCGCGAACGTAGCTTTAAGAGAACAACTGAGAATATTGTAAAGTTACAAATATTGCTTTGGATATAAAATTACCACAGCTTTCGTTAAGCAAGTGCCGTTTTAAGTAACCGTAGTTTGACATAACGTCAATTTAACAATAGAAGCGATTAATGGGTTAGACATTCGATTAGTGCAACTTCCGCACCTATTTAGGTCAAAAAGTTTAATTTCGATGACATTTTATTGTTTAGCTCTGTTCAAATGCTTAAACATATTTCCTCGCGTTAAGAGCTTAGTAAAACTATTCTTATTATACTTCTTCAAAAAAGTCTTCTTGACTGGGCACAGACGTCAGATCAAATATTTTTTTATATAAAGTAGGTACTAGCTGTGTCCGCGACTTCGTCCGCGTTAAATAGTGAATTGGGGTAGAATTTTTATTTATTGAGGCTTTTTATAAATTTGTGTAAGAGCGCATTTAGGCTTCTAGCTTTAAAAAACCACGAATTTCCATACAAATTTTCATCCCCCTTTTAACGCTTTACAACCCCCTTTTCGCAATAAAAAAGTAGCCTATGTCCTTTCTCAGGGTCTAGACCATCTGTATACCAAATTTCATTCAAATGCGTTCAGTAGTTTTGGCGTGAAAGAGTAACAGACAGAGTTACTTTCGCATTTATAATATGAATAGTAAGGATCAATGAAACGAATACAGAATGTGTTCGCTTCACAGATGGAGTGGGATTGATATTATATATAGCTATTTGGTTTTCCCTGGATATGAACACAAGACTTGTTTGAGAATTATTTTTAACAACGTCCCGACGATTCGACGTTTAATTCTCAAACTTTTAAAAGTTTCAAAGTTTAACTAAAACATATCGCGTTTTAAACGGTTAAAGTGTTTTATTTCAATGTGTACTACTCGCGTAAACTACAGACAGTAGTTTAATGAGTTTTGTTTTATATGTTTCTTAAAAACTTTATAATTTGGCTTCTCGAGCTGTTCATTCGACGTGATTGGAAAATAGTTTTCGACACTTTTTCATCACGTGACGATGTCATCGCTTACTCGAAGATCGCTCATCATCTGAAATGACTACCACTATTGATGGCGGAACATGGAGAACAATTTCTTAATTACGTCACGACAGCCGACAACTCGATAATCCAAATGATGTCAAATTATATATAGAAATTTTTAATTTTTCTTTGTAACGACTATTAAATAAAATCAATTGAAGTAGTTGAAATACCCCATCCATAAGCATCTACGAGATGCGCTGTCGGCCTATTTTCAGCTTTGGATATGCGGAAATACAAAGAGTGAAGAGTAAATGGGATTGAACTGCGCGGCTTTTTTTTCTGGACGGTGGTTCGAGGCCCGGGCGGCATTCCTATTAACCATTGAATATCCAGATTTCCAGAGAAATTTATTAGAAACATGATACAAATTGAAATCCTGGAATTTGACCGTGTTAGATTTTCCGATATTTAAGACTTAATTTGACATTTGAGAAGTGTTACCTTACCTGTATACCTTGTAGGAGACACGGTGCCTCACATGAGATGTCATTAAGCAAGATTACTTTAAATTCAAGGACTGTTATTATGTTTATTTAATTCGCTGTGACAAAATGCCGCCTTTGTCGTGATACGTCGCGGTTCTGTGACTTCCTTAAAGACCCTTACACGCAAAGTCATCAAGGTTTAAGGATTTTCATAGTTACCACAAAAATTAAAGAGCCGTGTTGGTCTAGTGATATATGCAACACAAACCAGCGCCAGTAAACTCGATAATCCCCGGTCGCATACGAAGGCTTCTGCAAAGCATCCGAAACGTCGGTCCGTTGTTAAAATAAATTGTAAAGTACAGTTAGAAAAAGTCCCAAGAATGTTTATAAAAACAACAATTTATGCAATTAATTTCAGATCACATTAACTTGGTATGTAACATTTTACAGGGCACCAACACAAACGCGGCAGAGGCGATGCAGTTCCTACGCGAGTATGATAGGGAGGCATCGGGGATGTGCTACAGGTGTGTAGACTTACAGTTACGGTAGATGTATAAATATTTTATCATAGAACTTTCCTCATTTCGTCCTAGTGGTTCGTAAGATTAGCGCGTTCAAACACACAAACAAACTCTTCGGCTTTATAATGTTAGTATAGATGTAAAACGCGTTCACAGAGTAACAATATCGCAATGGAAGTTCGTGACAAACATCACAGATTATAATCGGAGGAAGATGCTCGAAGAGTTGGGTATAAGCTCCAAGTTTGAGAGGTTGTCCTGGAGGAAGGCAGCTGCTTATGACGCAACGAGGGTCTCAGACGCCCACAGCAGGCGGCAGCTCATGAAAATCATTCAGAGCAGCAGAGCAGCTTTGCCAGACGAGCAGTTTTCAGAGGTATATTGCGGTTGGTTAGAGAATACGTGAAAATATTTCTATATATAGACTGATTAAAGATGTTTTATTATATTACATAATATTCAAAACAACTGCGTAAAATTTGATGTATTTTTATCAAAGAATTCACTTACGCCAACGAGCCCTTGGTTATTATTATAAAATAAAACCCTTTACAGCTACAAAACCTGGTAACGGAGATGAAAGAGATATACAACTCCGCCAAGATATGTCCCTTTGGCGAGAAGCCCTACGATCCTCATATACCTCGGCTCCCGCCTAACGACCAACCGGAGATCACGCTCAACCAACATTATCATTTGAAGAATCAGCCTTTTCAGCATTACCAATTGAATCAGGTAACTACAGTGAAGTTATACCGTAAAAAAAACTTCGACAGGTTAAAATTTGCCAACTGCTATGACATTATAGAGCATTGTCTATTTTTACGTATATTGTATATGTCCCACAAAAATAGAAGTGCGCCAAATATAAACTAATATAAATATACCACTTTACCAGCTTAAACCGCGATGTATATGGGTTAAACTTATTTGGTAATTATTGTAACTACGGCCCGACGTCTCGGATGTTTTACAGCAGTCGTGGTCAGGGGGTGACCGCGGGAGATTGCATTTCAAACCATTAAAGTGTTTTATTTAAGATATGTACTAGTCGCGTAAAATTTTTTGTTAGTATCGACCTCTTAGTGAAATATAATTGATAAATGTTAAAAAATTGAGTTTTTAGAAGTAAAGTGTGCTTTGGTTAGGTATAACCGTATTTTGAGATCTTTATTCCCGAATTAAAAGAAGAATTAGAAGTGCAAAGTGTGTAATGCAAAGAGAAAAGAAAAAACAAATCGAAAAACAAATTATAGAAATTAAATATATAGATATATATACACTTTTAAGTCCCTCCGTGACCACCGCTGCTGCTGCGGCCGTGGTTAAAGTAAATTATAAATAACTTCACTAATATATTTCGCATTTAAAACCGATAAAATTGTTTTAACTAAATTTTACTGTGTGTTCATATCCATAACGTTATCGGTTGAATATTATTCTTTCAAGTAAAGCGTATAGATAATAAGGATAGCAATATTACTTGGGTGACTCAATATTTACTCTTTATTTACATTCCTGATTCCAGGAGGTAACCGAATATCCAAGCTACTGCGACATGCAATTAGACCCAGAAATATCCAGGATCCTGGCTCACTCGCGAATCGAGAGCGAGCTCCTTTACGTGTGGAAGAGTTTCCGGGACCAGACGGGCCCGAAGCTGAAGAACCGTTTCATGAGATACGTGCAGCTCGCGAACCAGGCTGCTGTCAGTACTGGTCAGTGCTTTTACGCTTGACAGACTCGTAATGGGAATTTTGGGCTCGGAAACCTAATTCACCAGGGATCAAAGGATGTATTGTGCAAGCTAATCTAGGGGTACATATGTTATCGGTCAAGCATACGTTACATTGATCGAATGGTGGGTGACACAAATATACATAGATGGCCGTGTGTTCAATTCCGGTTCGATAAAAAACCACAAATTAATCGTGTTTCAGTATCAGTCTATAGTTGTCTATCCTCCTCTGGCTTTAAGCTGTTCACTTACCGATGTGTTTTCAATTCCTAGAGAGTTATTAATCTATTAATTAATATTGTAATAAAACATCCAGGATACAAAGACGCGGGAGACCAAATGCGAAACGCGTACGACGATACCTCGTTTCGGGAGAGCGTCGAAGAAATCTATAACCAAGTGTCCCCTCTTTATAAGCAGCTCTTCACTTACGTGCGAAGGAAACTAGTGCAGAGGTATGGAGAGAACAGCGTGAGGAGCGACGGTCCTATACCAGCTCATTTATTGGGTAAATTATCTTAATCTATACTAATACTAATGTTCGCGTTCAGTATAACTGAACAGTTTGTTTGTTTGAACGCGCTAATCTCAGGAAGTACTGGTTCGAATTGAATAATGTTGTTTTGGTTAGAGCATTTATTAAGGAAGGCTATAAAACATTGCTGTGACTAATAAGAGCGAAGAAACAATTGGAAATGTGGAAAATATTGGGAAATTTTTCAACTTTGTGGGTTTCCGATGCAAAAATGGTTCGGGATACCGAAAATATGTATAAAAGAATGATTTATCTTTAATTGATCTAAAAAAATGTCCGCGTCACTAGGTATATGGCTATCTCTAAAGATTAACTTGCGAGAACGACGGGATCCGAACTATGGAAATATCATAAATTAATTCGCGCGCGCCGGAACGCGACTGATTTCGTAGGTAACAACTTAAAGTAAGTAAAGATTGAAAAATTTACGACTCGGGCAGGACTTAACCGACAGCGTGTCCTACACGTCGTCGTCGATTTTTTTCTCTCGCGCAATGCAATTTCAACCTAAACATTTGCGTATAAAGGTTCAAATCTAGATTTTTAATTTATATCGTGCCACCACATTTAGGTAATAACATGGAAAAATATTAAAGTTTTCATAACAGAATCAAGTTACTAGCGGTATCTCTATAGCTCAAAACATAAACCTAATAGTGGCGTAGCTATTGTGGAGCCGGGTGCTGCAGTACACTACAGCTTAACTCGGATGCCAGTTCAAGTCCTGGCTGTGTCGTAATTTAAATATATATATAATCGATTTTTAATTTGATTCTGTTTTATAGGCAACATGTGGGCGCAGAACTGGAAGTCAATTATGGACCTGGTTATGCCTTTCCCTCAGGCGCCGAACATTGACGTCACAGCTGAGATGCTTCGGCAGGGATTTACCCCACTGAGGCAAGACTCTGTTTCTTTATTACCTTGTGGTCTTAACGCTTAAAGAACAGAAAACTCAACAATAGATAATCAGACAGTTATGAAATTAAAATCTTTGCGTTATTTAGGGCAAAGAAATATGCGTTTTATCAAATAACATTGTAATATTCAATTAAATGTTGTTAAGAATGTTTATTTAAATAAAACACTTTAACGGTTTAAAACGCGATATATTAGTTAAACTTATTTGAAAATGATTTTTAACTTCGGCCCGACGTTTCGGATGCTTTGCAGCAGCCGTGGTCACGGGGAGACTAAAGATGGAGGATGTCTCTGACGTCAAAGTAAAAATCATTTTCAAATAAGTTTAACTAATATATCGCGTTTTAAACCGTTAAAGTGTTTTATTTAAATGTGTACTACTCGCGTAAACTATAGACAGTATTTAAGAATGTTTATCACAAAATTTTTCGTCTATATTGAAAGTAACGACGTGTCGTCATTTGTGGCCGATCATTGAATGCACCTTTTTCGATTTAACTACAGAAATTACCATATATGAGAAAAATGCGGAGAATGGTATAGTTTACTTATTGTAGTGGGGTGAAGATTTGATTTTCATATATGTTTTCCTATCGTTGTGTTTGTTAAATTAACTCCTCAGTTACTTTTATTCTAAGCATTTACTAGTCATTCGTTGAGTTGGATTTTTACCAAAGAATAACAAAACCAAAGAGAAAATAACGAACGAATATATTTGGAATAAAAAACTGCTCTTCAAATCGCTTTAACTTAGTTAAGCTAGTAGAATTATATGTGATCGAAATTGTAGAATGTTCCAAATGGCCGAAGAGTTTTACACGTCAATGGGCATGAAGCCGGTGCCACCAGAATTCTGGCGTGGGTCGATGTTGGTGAGACCACCGCAGCGCAGCGTGCAATGCACTGCCAGTGCGTGGGACTTCTGCAATAGGATCGATTACCGGTAAAAATATTATTATAACAACAAAATTTTTTTCGCAGTTACTTTAAAAATGAGAAACACAACATTATAATAAGGAATAAATAATAAGCTTATCTTAATGTTGAAATATAAAACAACTATGTGTTATGATTAAGTATTGTCTGTAGCTTACGCAAGTAGTACACATTTAAATAAAACAGTTTTAACGGTTTAAAATGTGGGGTCACTTGTGACCACGGCAGTTACAACGCATCCAGTTACAAAGCAGTTAATGTTAAATTGTTTGTAGTACTGTTCAATCAATATAATTTTCTTCGGCTCTTTTAATTGTAAAATATAAACAAATCCGAAACGTTGGGCATAAAATAAATTTCGCTGATTAAACGGTTAAAAGTTATTCAAATAACTATTATGATTGAAGTCGCATGTTAGTAATTACTATCAATTGTTAGTTATTAATGGATATTGTTTATAGGATAAAACAATGCACAGAAGTAACGATGCAGGATTTGATATCCACTCACCACGAGATGGCGCACATTCAATATTATCTGCAATATGCCGACCAACCGCACCTGTTTCGAGACGGAGCGAATCCTGGTGAGTTTGCAGTCTAGCAACACTAGTTACATTTTTAATTTGTTTTTTTCGCATGCAGATTATTCAATAAATAATATAAGTGTGAGAATGTGCCTACAACTAGCCTGTGCTGACCACAGCAAGTGAACGGTTCAGTGAGGCAATTAGAAGTAGACGTAAAGATTCCCTACCAAATAATAAAGACTTGTAAAGTATAAGGTTAGCTATAATAGAATGATTATAATTGAGGCTGCTAGGGGCAGAGTGGCCTAATAAGAAAAATCATGATTTACAATAAGGAGGAAAATAAAAATGCGCTATTAACTTAGGCGAAAATGAATTTGTCCTATAATGTATGTAAGAATTATGTCAAAGATGTTTGATCTCCGTGCTCTTGTAGATTACCATTTTTAGACGATAAAAATATTAAATAAGTCAAGTCATAAACAATTGCAGTTGGGCCACTCTGGCTCTAGTCCTCATAGGATTGCTCACAATTTCCATTTTTTTGCAGCTTTCCACGAAGCGGTAGCGAATGCAGCTTCCCTATCAGTATACAATTTGCCGCACTTGCAACGAGTGGGACTTTACCAAAATAAGTAAATTATAGTCTATCTTCGACTGTAGTTCATTCGAGTAGTACACATTTAAATAATGCGCCTATAACGGTTTGTAACGCACCATATCGGTAAGATACCAGCTAGCAAGAAGACTGTGAATCAGTTTGGTATGTACCCAGCCAGTTGCTCCAAATATCAACTACGACAAAACAGATGGCGCTAGAGTAGGGGTTTTGACTTAACGTAAAGGACTGCAGCAAAGCATCCGCAGAAATAAAAAAAATATATTAGCTATAACATATTTCGCGTTTTAATAATAATAAATTAAATTTACAACTACCCTCCCTCGTGTTTCCAAGTGAAAGTTGGAAGACTAACGAAAGTGGGGCTTTTTAGTTTATGGAAAATTCTAGATCATTTATAAATAAAATTAAACGTTTACTTAGCTTGAAACTAACACTTCTACATGACTTCACTTTGATGTATTAAAAGAAAAATGTGTGTATAACATAATACATATATAATTTGTACATTCTATTTCTAGATCTCACGACCCATATGAAGTGACAATGAACTTCTTAATGTCGATGGCTTTGGAGAAGGTGGCCTATTTGCCTTTCGCATTTATGGTGGATCAGGTGAAATTTGAAATTTACTATCAATATATACTATAATATTTACTATATTAAAATAAAACACATAAACAGTTTCAAACGCGAAATATATAAGTTATTATTCACTAATATTTTCAATGGAAACGTCGGGCCATAGTTAAAACAATTTGTAAATATGTTTAGCTAATATATTTCGCTTTTTCAAACGATCAACGATCACCCGTTTTATTCAAACCATTATTTAATCTTATTCCTCGTGCAAACTTCAAAGCATGGTAAGAAAAGCCAGTAAGCAAATCGATAGATTTAGAAATAACTAAGATGAGACTAGTTTTGGTAAATACTTAATTTAAAGAGATTGTCGTTTCAGTGGCGCTGGTCTGTCTTTGAAGATGGAGTGGAAAATATGAACACGAGATGGTGGCAAATGAAGCTGCGATATCAAGTAAGCAAATCGCCATTTACTTGTAATACTGAGAATTGATATTATTTATAATAGAACTAATAGTTTAGTTTAGTTTCTTGTGAGGCTTTTATGTAAAAAAATCTCGAATGGGTGTAAAGGGTTAAGTATAGTGGAAAGGGGGAATATTGCGTTTTGAACTCTTATAAGCATTTATATAGTTAAAAACTGTAAGTATAAAATGCAAATGGACCGCCTCTGTAGCTAAATTGTTAAACGTGTTGCCTAGCATTGCGTTGAGCGCGAGAGATCTTGGGTTCGAATCCCGGGGAAACTACTTGCCTGTAAATAAAAACCGATCAGTGAAACGGACACATAAATGTGTTCGCCCCATGCCCCACGAGGGGAAACTGGATTTCACTACCTTATAAAATGCAAATTATATTGTTTAATTACTTTAAAAACTTTGTAACTTCACGTCGTAGTTAAAAATAAACAAATATAATTTGATTAATATATTTCACGTTTTAAACCGTTAGGTATAAGAATTTGTTAAATCTACAATTTTATTTCAGGGTGTAACGCCACCCATACCAAGAACAGAAGCGGATTTCGACCCCGGTTCTAAATATCACGTTATTTCAGATCAAGTAAGTGTTAAACCGATTGAGAAAGTTCTTTAAGCTATATTTAAAGGACGGTTTTATTATAATTTAAATAAAACCACATATTGTTGACTGAACTAGAACACGAGTTTTGTAAAGATTATCTTTTTTAGAAAAGTTTAAATTTGTCACATGCGCACGAGATGGCAGTATATAAATAAAAAAATGATTTTAGACTGAAAATTAATTATGTTGAAAATATATATTACGAGAGGTGAAAAAATCTATGACGTGTAGGATACTGTACTATAGCTCAGTTACTGAGCGCAACAGCACGGAACGCTGTGGATGCATGAAATAACCTGCCCGTGTCGTATTTTTTTTCTTCTAATATCTATATATTGTTAACTTTATTTATGCGTTAATTGCGTATGCGAGAGATTTCATAAGTACGTTAACTTTTTACAGTTTTAATATGTTTTACATGCACACGATAGCACTATATAGATTAAAAATCGAAAATAAATTGAAAAAAAATTACGACTCTTGCAGAACTTGAGCCGGCGTCGTCAGCGTTCCGTGCTGTTGCTCTAACCAAATAGTATTTAACTTTCTGTTAACTTTTATTTTATTCCAGGAGTACATAAAATACTTCCTGGCGACAATACTGGAGTTCCAGATCTTTGAACAGCTGTGCGTGGTGTCTGGACATCTGGGGCACCTGCACGAGTGTGACGTTTACAGGAGTAGGGACGCCGGGAGGCTATTGAGGTAGGAGTGGCAAGACGTCGGATGGAAAATAATTATACTTGATATTCTAAGTAACAATTGCAAATATTCTTTTAATTATTCAGTGAAATAATGCAAGCGGGTTCATCTAAGCCGACGTCAGAAGTAATCAGGAGCATGACTCGCGGTAGAACTAACAGGATTTCGCCGGAGGCGCTCGTCAAGTTAGTAAGCAAGCTTAAATCAGTCAGAAATGTATTGAAATACTAGAGTACAAGAACAGGAAAAGCTTGTAATAAATTTAAAAAAGTAAAAATTGCTCGACTTATATTATGCACTATTGATAAACATACATTGTAAAATATGAAATCTTTAGTATTTTTCTCTTGTTATTGCACATGAGGCACTATATAAATATAAAAAAAATATTTTAAAAGTACGGGATTTTATTGCGCTAGAGCTGCATGAATTAATAGCTTGAAAAGATTTCGACCACAGTACCACAGCTACATGTATTAGCTGTAGTGCGAGTTTGAGCCCCGCCTATGACATTCACTTATTAAGTTTTGTTCTGCTTACTTAGGAATTAATCCTATTTAATATAAGTAACACTATTTTTAGATATTTCCGCCCGCTAGAACTTTGGCTCCGAGTGCAAAACCGAGACGAAGCGCTCATTGGCTGGAATTCAAATCAAATAGATGTCGCCCTCTTCGCGCCACGGAAAAGCGCGGGAAATTGTGGCAGGCCACCATTATTGTTCGTTGTTTTTGGTCTATGTTTATGGTTAATTCAGTAAAAGAAGTTTTAAGGAATTAGTTGGCTTTTATTCGCCGCGCTTTTGTCTTTTTATTTAAATAAATTAATACAAAGACGGAAATCGACAAAAACCTCGATACACTTTCAACTAAACTAATGATTATAAAAATCTATCTCGCTCCTATCATATTTAAATGTCACATTCATCATTTCCCTATTATTAAGTTGAGATTTTAAGGAACGGTCTTTAAAGACTGATCAGGACAACGGAAATTAATTCGTGTGATAAGTGCTCGCCTGTTTTTCCCCATGAATAAGAAAATAATATTTAAATAAGTATGCCTCAATAAATAATAATATTCAATACACATTTTAATTTACACAAACGAGATTTTTCTACTCGTTTGTAATTCCTTGCACAATGCAAAAACAAAATTGCAAAATGATATGTAAACTATGTAGTAGATTCTAGGTACAGTACTTTCACGTTATGGGTTATCTCACCTCCGATGGCTGAAAATTTCGTACAATAATTATTTATCGCGTCTTTCTAAAGAGATCGAATAGGACATTAACTGACATTTTCAAACGCGCTGTTATGTCAACAAACAGTTTCACATCAATATATGTATTCCTAATAGGTATAATTAAGTCGTCAAAACGACATAGCAACAGCGGGCGAGAGTTCAAAGTTATTAAAAATGCTTAATAGAGACCGCGAAAACCAGCTGGAGGTCGTCAAAAAGTGATTTGCATCGTTTTGTCAAAGTCATCAGCAGAATAGAAAGGACGATACATTCGCTTCAGAAAACTTTCAAAAGTCCATTTAACCGCGTTGACTGCAACTATTAAACTAAACAGTCTCAAAATCTTGCCCGAAGAAGTAACACGGAATGGCGGGAATTTTGACGTTGACAGTTTTCTTATTAATTCAAGTTGGCTCCGGAATGGCCACAGAGACACAGCAAGAAGATTTGATAGAAAACGCAAGAGACCAGATCGCCGATTCCATTTTGTACATAACTAAGGTTTTGGAGAGCTTTAACGATCGATATTTTGGGAGAAGTGATTTGGGAAAATATGTCGAGTACGAAAGAATTAAGCCGCAACTGAGCAATTCTAACGGACGAGAAGGTACATAAGTGTTCCTAGTTGTTATGTGTAAAGTAGGACAATTACAAATCATATATTTTTTTTTAGAATATCGCGGCCTGAAAAAGCTGGCGATGGGTTTGATTCCGCTGATATTTCATTTGGGTGCTGCTTCTACTTGGATGGTGTTGACAACGATACTGGCAGCGAAATCCGTTTTACTTGGAATTATTTTGTTGGTGTTTAAAATAGCTGTCAGTTCGGCTAAGGTAATTTACATTAAAATTAATTACTGCATTTCTAAAACATGGAACGAGATAATATTAAGAAATTCGGTATACAAAATGCAAGGAAAGGAAACATTGCTTTTAACTACCTAAATTTATCATCTGCCAACAAACATCGGGCTACAACACTTGGAGGCCGAGTTTTTGGTTAATCTGACAATATACGACGATGAGGTGTAGGAGTTGGTAGAGCAACAGCACGGAACGCTGACGATGCGGATTCAAGTCCTGCCTGAGTCAATTTTATTTACAATTTATTTTCGATTTTTAAATAATAATTATATATATATAGGTTGGATCATTCTTCACGCATCTCAAAGGAAGTCATCATCACGAGTGGGCATGGTCACCGCCGCATGAACACCACGGTAAGTTTATCACACATTTTGAATAAGAACGATAGAAAACAAAAATGTCGATACACAAGTCCAATATCATATAGCCAATTCAGTAGCCAGTCAAGTAGTTAACTCCTGCATCATGTAGACTGTTATTGTGGCGTGTCAATCTGTATCGTAATTGGGAAGAAAGGGAGGCCATGGTGGAAAAAATACATTTACGCCACTACGTCATACACTGATATTGCACTTAATACACACTGAACTCACAAAAACTATTATAATAACTGGTAGTCTCTCTAACACGCGGACTATATATACTAACAAAATAACAAAACTGCACAATTGCCTCGCACGAGTGGCAACCAAAGGCAACTGACAGCGCGCGCTCGGCCGTCATATCGAAAAAACTAAACTACCCCCGAATTCTAAATTACTATTTAGTTCCGAACAAATATATTTAAATTCAAATTCGACTATTCTCTCTAGTTTGGTGTATTTTGTTTCAGGTTAAAAAATCCTTAGATAATAAAAGCCGAGTGAATGAATGGTATGCATCGTTCACACTTATTTCTATCTATATCTATCTGTGGGAATGTCAAATGTTTTTTTTTCTTACAGACGACAGATAAGGATGAGGTTTACTTAACGATAGGTGAAATACCCCACCATACAAAAATAATTTAGTTGTGTTGTCGTCCTATATTTTCTTTCCGTGTTCGTAGAAATACCAATTTATAGAGATATTATTGGTCGTGGTCGTTAGAGTGCCGACCATGTCGTTGATGTGTTTTTTATTTGTTTGTTTTTTAAGTATATATGCAAAATGTTATAAGAATTATTTCATGTATTTTTTTTATTATTTTTTTTCAGCACCGGTATACGAAATTAGTCCAGCTTGGAGTCCCTCGTATAAGGCACCAATTGAACATTTTGACCACAAGCATGCGATAGAGAAATGAATATATTAAAACAGAAAATTTCTTACAACATACGAAATTTCACTAAAAACTGTCAAGCAGGGTTGTTGGGTATAGACATACAGTCGACACACAATTCAAATTATGCATATAAATAAATAGATAGAAAAAAATGGACGGAGTATTTATTCGGAAAATGGCTTATGATTAATTTACATTAAATATGCAACAATTGTAATGAACCTGCTAGATAACCATATATATGTCAATGGACAAGAAATTTTTCAAAAAAACTTTATTGTATCGAATATACAAAACTTCTGAAGTGGGAAAAACATTCTTCTTTTTCTATCAGAGATAACATATTTAATAAATAATTTATATAAAATGCCAAACAATAATATTAAAAAATTAATGGAGATTCTGGAGAAAAATTTATTTTTTCAAGCATAGTTAAAAGGCGTCAATGTCTCCTTAATATCATTATAACTCGTGCGGTTAATAAACAATTGAAAAGGCGGTTTCACGCTGTCTCGCTCATACGATCGAGCTGTCTTTATCCCACAGTTATTCTAAATACAAAAAAGATTGGGAAAGTCTAGAGATAAAAGTTTAAACAAGACTTACAAATCTTAATTAGAATAAAAAATGGTTATTTAATATTTTATACGGGCGATAAATTAATTGTAATTTATTACAGCGTTAAGACATCTTGGCTGCCATTTATAGAATGTTTCCTAAGCGCACGATTTATTAGTATTTATTTTGGTTACCATGGCAACGTGACAATTACTACCTACTTTAGTGTTTTTTATTATTCTTACATAAAAAATGCAGCAAAAGTTGTATTCAACAAAAATGCTTTATGTAAACAGTAGCTTCATTAAAATTGGTACCAACATTTAATTTTTTTTAATCTAAAAAAAATATACCTTAATACTAAAAATGTATTAAATATTTTTGAGCTTCTATAGAATATAAAATGTTTGCCGTAAAAAAGTAAAAAGCCCAGTAAAAGGCGTAAAAAATTAAAGCCAAAAATTGTGATGCTTGTGTTAAACTTAAGTCAATGAAGGTGCTTTTTTATATACATCTACTCAATTATTTGTTTCTTAATAATATACTATAAAAACTATTGATTACATAAGTCTTTCAATTTACCTTTGTTACAAACTATATGTACATTTTAAATTACATGTTTATACGGACGGAAAGTCTTACAAATAAATATTTACTTTCAAGTTATATAACCAGGTAACAAAAAAGACTAGCTAGAAATAATTTTGATTGTAAATCTATTTACATATCACAAAATATGTACAAATAAAAACAATGCCGAATTGGATCTTTTAAGTGTTATCACAGTAAAACTTAAGAAATAAAAAAAATATAGTCGTGCAAAACATTATAAATAAATAAACTTGCTTGAAATGCAAGTTATAATAGTAAATGAGTAATTTCATTTTTAATCTTTTTCGATGAACATTGGTCTTTATCTCTTAGGTGTTAAAGTCGAAATTTCATTGCGACCACAGACTACCTATACAGATAGACTTCTATCAAAAGAACCAAGTAATAAACATTCTTCCAAATATTTCTATAAGTTATCATAATTCAAGATCCGCCATTCGTCTAAAGCAAACGCCCAAGAATATACACAGAGTAATCAAAATCGAATCGCTGACCAAGCCCAGCACGTTGTTCGAGAAGAAACTATAACGGACCTTCTTCTTGCTCAACCTCCTTTTATCCACGTTCAACTTCTTCGGCCACGATTCGAAATTCGAAGGCACGCTCTGACACTGGCTGTCGAACCATTTGCGCGCGAAACCGCTTGACGTTTTAGCCTGGATGCAGATGTCAAGTTTCCCGCCGCTGAGAAGTGACGTTTTGAAGTTGTCACTGACAGGAACTGTCAGGGAGCGGAGGTTGTACGCGACGTCGTTGGTATAGTACAGGGTGTTGTTTTGATCCCGTATGAAGAGGTAGAAGTCGGCGACATCTTCCGCGCTTAGGATGAACCAATGAACGTATATTGACGGTTGAGAGCTGAAATGATATAAGTTAATTATATTCTATACAAAACTAAGTTTTAATAAATCCATTAGAATTAAGAACTTTATAGATTTCCAGACCAATTGTGGACTTTTTTGATTGGATATTTGAGACATTAAACATAAGTTAACTAAAACCAATTGCGTTTTATACCGATCAAAGTGTTTTATGTAAATAGACATGTGTTTTGCATATTTCTGTCTCTACTAATCTACGTTGGGTGCTAGGTGTAGCAATCATTACTATGCCAACATACAGAGAATAAATAAATATAAGTAATATTTATTATCTGTATGTTAGACGTTCCGTCTTTACACTTTCCCCTCTTTGTCGTGCAAATTCAATCTACAACACGTGTAAAAGATCCTCTCTTGAACAATGACCTTTGAAATTGAGTATTTCAAATACTCACTATTGTATATCCCTGAAAGCCAAGTCCGGTTCGCTGGTGAACATGTACTCGTTGTTGCCATATTCCTTCATTTTCTCCTGCAGTTCGATGTTGCCAGCGCACAATAATCTCTCCTCGTCTACACTCATAAAGTTTGCGTCCACCAGAGATGGCGGCTCCGCGCAACTTATATTATTGTATTTAGTATCTTTAGTTAGCGACGATTTTGGTAATTTGTTTAAGTAGTGCTTCAATGGCCGCGTGAAACAGTCACATTTTAATTTGTTGTCTGAAAATAAGGATTATTATGTAAAAACTAAACTAAACTTTTTGTTACTGCTAGTGACTTACGACATACAGGGGCGTAGAACGAGTAGCACGTTTTAAAAACATTTTTGTTACCTTCGTTGTAAATAAAAATTAAACAACAAATATACCGTATAAAAATTTTTAGCTCAGAAACATATTAATGTAACTTTAAAAATATATTGTTATTGTGACAAGATTCAAAGTACGAGAGGTTCTAAGTTCGAATCAGTCAATGGTTCAGAGAGAATGGACACATAACTGAGCTTTCTCCATGCTCCACAAGGGGAAACGCAGTTTCATTACCTTCAAAATAAACTTCCAACCCTTGTTCCATAATCTTCTTCATCAGCTCTGGGTAAAAACTCGTGAGCACATTATGGCGGACGTCAAGTACTTTCAAGCGTTTCGACTTAACAATATTGTCTATGGGCAGAACTTCCAGCGAGTTGTTCTGGACGTAGAGATGCGTCAAGTTTTCCGGTAGTTGCAGTTTCGATTCCGCTAAAAAGGCAATGTAATAGATTATGTATATAAAAAAATGGCGGACATTCGTTATTGTATTAGTCATTATAATGACGAACGAGAGATTTTAATTTTCTCCTTGATTGGATGAAGTAACAAGTCGACTACTTATTTAATAAGAACTTACCAGTCCTGGACACCAAATCTTTGATATCATTATTGGATAGATCGAGAACCTCCAAGGAAGTCAGATTCCCCAACACGTCTGGAAAGTACCATCATAACTTTTTTAAATAAAACACATTGAGTTAATGTTGTTTGTAAATTATTTAAGTACGGCCCGACGTTTCGAATGCTAGGCAGCAGCCGTGATCACGGAGAGCCCCGTCCCGAGACGGACACGTCCACCAAGTTTAACTAATATATATCGCGTTTGAAACCGTTAAAGTGTTTAACTAACTCTCGGCAGAAGCATCCAAAAAGAAAATCCGTCGGGCCGTAGTTAACAATTTTTTTTATACAAGTTTAACTAAAATATACTGCTTCATATTACTTACTACTTCTAATGTCATTGATGTGATTTCCGGCTAAATTGAGCTTCCTCACTTTCTTCGAGCCTATCGTCAAGTCGAACGTGACGACCGGTATCTCGTTGTAACTCAGGTCGATTTCCATCAGTCTGTATGGTATCCAGGGGTTGGCGGGGAACATCTTCTTCGTGAGGAAGCCAATGCGATTATGGCTTAAATTCACCTGGGAACGATTATATATTGAGTGAAGATAGACATTATAAGGCATGTTAATTCACGCTTGGGGTTCACTCGAAGGTGAATACCCCAACCATGTAACATCTAAACCGATATGCTGTCGGCCTATCACAATATGTCTGCGTAATTTCAAGCGAATTTCTGAAGCTTTGAATTCGCTTTGAAATTTTCACAAATTACCCTGCAATAAAACTGTTTCCATTGAATGATACTTATGTGTTTTGTAAATATATTAATATTTTATGCTATGATCAAGCATATTATCAAGGTCACAGGCTGGATTACAATAGGGAAATAAAAAAAAAACGATTTCGGGTACAGAAGGCTGGCTACAAACTGTGCCTTGTGTCGTACGTGTCTGCTCCATAATAAAAATAAAATTATACAACAAAAGGATAATTTAAACTGGATATTAACATTAAAATAGATAAAATAACACACTGAACACCGAGGAAAGCATATGAAGGTCCTAAATGTGATTAATTCTAAAGCCAGTGCGGCCAAGGCTAAACAGCAATACCAAGAAAGTATTGCTTGACCCTGACCTTATCAGTCATAAAACTTTGACAAGTGGATAGGCATGGAGAAAAGGCGGCTGTTAGTAGAGCGAATATCTATACTGAAATTATCTTGAATATTTAATAACATCATATTGGTATAATAATAAAGATCTTACCATCTCAAGCGACAAGCAGTCATCTAATAAGCCGTTCGTTTTGTTGTCGATTTTCTCCAAACTATTGTATGACAAGTCCAGTTTTCTAAAATAGATGCAAATTTATAAAAAAATAATAATATTTAGACGTAAATTAATCGAACCAACGACCCGATGGTTATTAGCCATAGCTCACACACCAACACAGTTAAATAAAAAAAATGCAAACAAGCTTTTACAGGTTTAAAAATGCAGCAATAGCCCACCAACCCAACCTAGAGTAGCGCGATGGGTCTGTGCTCTAGAAAACCTTGCTTATAAGAGGGTGGAAACGGCCTTACAAGAAAAGCTCTTAATGCAAAAAGCTTCCTCTAAAGCTTAAAAAAACATATCTCTCACCTTAAGGCAACAAGTCCCTTGAACGCCTCATTCGGTATTTTCTCTAAGAGATTACCACGCAACGACAAATCCAGCAACTGCTGCATCCCGGCAAACGAGCGCTGTTCGATGTTGGCCAACTTGTTGTACGACAAGTCGAGTTGGAATGTTGTAGGGAGGTTACCAAACGCGGCCTTTGATAGGGAAGTTAGTTCGTTGTGCTGGAAATATTGGGTTATTATTTACGATTATTAATTTAATTCACACAACTAATACTATTTCTACTTAGAAAAATAACATACAAGAACCCAGAATAGCCTGCAATAAATCTACATCGTATCAGTCGAAATCTATTTTATTACTCGAGCTGTCATAAGTAAAATAGACAATTTTATTAGCATAGTTTAATTTAAGCAAAACTTTTTGAACGGTTTATAATGCGAAATATATTAGTTAACATATTTTTAAACTTATTTTAACTACGACCCAACGCTTTTAAGCATCTGCGTTTACAGGGGACGATAAGTTACCTAATATATATCGCGTTTTAAACTGTAAAAGTGGTTTACTCATATGTACTACTCGTGTAAATACGAGAATAGTAGTTTAAAACTTACTTGCAAATAAAGATATTGCAAACTCGTCATAGTATTGAGCGCCTCCCACGGCGATCTAGTCAACCCGTTGGCCGATAGATCTAGCGACTGGAGCGTTAAGAGACCAGGAAACGAATCATGGGTCAACCGGTCGCCTAACATGTTGTGGGACAAGTTGAGACGGAGTAGTGCGTTCATAACCGGCCAAGTGTTAATTCGGATTTCGCTCAAATTGTTGTACGCCATGTTTAGTTCGCTGTAATTCAATTTTATATCATTACATTTATACATTGGTCATTAATTGGCTCGTTAGTCTGTATGCTATAACTTGTAACTAATAAGCAACGGGTTCGATCCCCACTGGGATATGTTTATATTTATATGTTCTTCTGTAAATGGACTTCGCCTAGAAATCTCGATATTAAATACTTTTTTACGGAATGCAATATAGAAAAGCCGTATGAGCCACGAACCACAGCCTCCACATCAAAAACCATAATTAATAGCGATATGGTCTGTGGATTTCCGAATATCCAAAGACAAAATAGACATCTCATAAACTTACCCCAAACTGATAGGGATCTGGAATATTTTCTCCAAGAAATTATGACTGATGTCGAGTGAACGACAACTAGCCAACTTAGCTAAGGATCCCCTCGACACGTCGAGCAACTTGTTGTGCGACAGATCGAGCTCGAGCACTGTGGGTATTGTTCCGAAAGTCGCCGGCTTTATTTGTTCGAGGGAGTTGTGACTAATGTTGAGGTATCTGAAATGAACAAATTTAAATAAGTATTTATCATTATTATTTCAATTGATATATTATATACAAAAAAGTCTTGTTATATGTACCTAAATGGCTTAGGTAAATATTGCTTTTATATATTTTTATATGACACTAGCTGACCCGGCAAACGTTGTTTTGCCATATAAATAATTTTACTAAAATGGCTATTAAATAATAAGAGTTGATCGTAGAAGGGTGAAAATTGAGGATTGTATGTATTTTTGTATGTTGTATCATAAAAAAAATAGAAAAAAAGATAAAAATTTTGTCTAAAAAATAAAAATAACATTTAGGGGGATGAAAAGACAATAAATAATTGAAAATAGGCCAGAAAAACAAGAACAAATGTTTTTTTTTCCTTTTTAAATGACTTCAAAAAAGGTATTTTTTTTATAATTCTTAAAAAAACGTTATAATTGGATTTTTTTAATGTAGCACTATCAGATATTCTTTAACATACTGTATGGTGGAGATCATATCCAAGTAGAATTGACTTTTAAATAAAACACTTTAACGGTATTAAAACGCGATATATTAAAAGATAACTAATATCTCTAATAAAAGAAAACTAATATATCGCGTTTTAAACCGTTAAAAGTGTTTTATTTAAATGTGTACTACTCGCGTTTACAGACAGTATTTAGAATTGACTTACTTAATAGTAAGTTAAAATATTTTTTTTTAATGATAGAGAAGGACAGTCAGGCATGGGTTTTTTTGCATCTAAACGAGATGCGCTGTCGGCCTATATTGGGTTTGGATATTCGAAATCAAAAATCCTTACCGTAACGAGAACAAATTCTGGAAGACAGCGTTGGATATCTCCGTCAAGTTGTTGTGAGACACGTCCACGGTGTGAAGCTCATACAGTTTGGGAAACGCCAACTTTGGGATTATCTCAATCGCGTTGTGGGACGCGTTGAGCACGCGGATGCCCGTCATATTTTGGATTGGGATCTGGGAAATAAATATTAAGACTAAATTAAAATAAAATATAATTTATTCTCTATAAAATAATAAAAATTACTTAGATTCGCCGAAAAAAGAGTAATATGTTTGTCTGTCCGTTCGTCGTGATTCTACAGAGTGTTCAAAAAAACAACATAACCGAGAAGATCACCTACGAAACTCAGTCCGGCTTTTTTCAACATGTCTTATAAACTAATACATTTTTGTGAATTTATTAACCTAAGGAGCAATTTGTATAACTGCCAGACAGCCTTGTCATTAAAGAAAGCCAAACAATAATACACCTTTAAATAAAACACTTTAACAGTTTAAAACGCGAAATATATTAGTTAACAGTATTTTTTTATTACTTTGTATAAAGAGTATAAAAGCTAGTATTCACCTGTCCCAAATCCGTAAAGAAGTTATATGAAACCTGGAACTCCGACGCATATGTGTTCTCGTCGAATGCTTGCCGATGTATTTCCGTAAGATTATTGTAACTGAGGTCCAGCAGGGTCATGTTGTTGCAGTTCTGGAACGCTCCAGGTTCGATGCTCGACAGTTCATTGTGAGATATATTCACGGTCGCGAGATACAGGTCGGTGAAAGCCTGCTTTTCTATAAGTTTTATCTTGTTTTCTGCTAGATTTACTATCTGTGAACAGTTATAAATGTATGTAGGGATTTTTTCGAGCACCATAATAAAATATAAATAAAGTAGCTGATCCGGCAAGCGTTGTTTTGCCATATACATAATTTCCTAGTAATTTCTAGTGTAGACAAAAAACAGCTTACTTGTTGTTGAGTTACACTGAGATAGCAAAATAATAATTGTCAACGTTACTATTACACTTGATGCATAAACAATAATGATGGCCGACAACTGTGTAGGGAGTGAGAAAGAAAGGAGACCGGCTTCGTTCCCATCCCGACTCCGTGCTGTTTATTGGGTCAGAAGTGACACCTGTAGACATCTGGCGGGGATAACTAATTAAATGGCGAATGATCAGTTGTCGACCGGAGAGGAAAGATTATTGAAAATTGAGGATTGTATGTATGTATGTTGTATCATTAAAAAATTAAAAATTTTGTCTAAACTACCCCTAACATTTAGGGGGCCGATTCCCATAGATACCGGATAAGCACAAAAGATTTCATCAAATTCGGCCAAGCCGTTTTGGAGGATTTAATTTCATCTTCCTCTTTAAGAGATACGTCTTAGCTCTTTCCGCCCTACGTCTTAATCCGCCTTAATCTTTGACCTCACTCTTCCCGTCCTTTTCACACATATCCTCTCGCTCATTCATTTCATTCCACACATTCTAGAATATTATATTCTAAGATTCCATACAATCAAGACGCTTGGTTCAAATATGGGCGAAAAAAAGAAAAAAAAAAAGTTTGAGCAAGGTTTGAGCAAGTTTATATCTGGTCTATTTTGGTTTGAATAAAAATCGATCGGTGTAACGGACATAAAAAAATGTGTCTAACGTCGCGTAGGAGACACGGGCCATAGAAAATTAAGCGATGTATCAATTTTAACTACTTCACTACTAAACTTAATTATTTTGATAATTGTTTTTTTTTTTAATATCAAAAAATAATTATTTAATGACATTCTCACCTCAGCGTATTTAACTTGCTGAAACATTTGGTAGTCTACTTTAGTGATCAGGTTTCTCGCCAAGTCGATAGTCCCGATCCGTGTGACGGCGGAAAATGTCCCATGGCCCACGTCCGATATCTGGTTGTCTTGAAGGTACAGGCGCCTGAAATATTTGTTTGCGATTGGTAAAGAGTATTACGGTTTAATTTTAAAACTTTTTCAATTTATTTTCGATTTTTAAATTATATAGTGTCTTCATGTGCAATAACATGTAAACAATAATAAAGTTTTCAAAGTATTACGATTATTAGGAACTTTTTCATTATATTATGTTTAATGCATCATAAGTCGTCTACGACGGACACCTCAGAATAGGTTTAAAAAGGCATATAATATTAACGGCAACCATTATACCTTAAAAATCTCATTCCCCGAAAGCTGTTCGTATCCAACTTCTTGATTTTATTGTTGTCCAAGTGCACTACTTTTATCAACGTGTTTCTTGCGAACATACCTCTGTGGAAATAAATGGTTCAAAGTTAGATACAGTAAAAATTTTTTCATTCACGGATACTGTGTGAATAATAAATTCGACCTATTGACGTTAACTATTTTTACTGGTCCTTCGAGCCGGATGACTATGATTTATTTAATGTTGCAAGGAAACAATGTTTGTATATATAATATGCAATCGCTCACCTGGGGATATCTGGTAAATTATTATGACTTGCGTTGCACCATCCTAGCTTAGTCAGGTCTCCTATGTGACTGCCGTCCAATTTTGTTAGGTTATTGTAACTAAAATTAAAAAAACATGTCATGCCTGTAATAACTTTCTCAATATAAGTATTGAGATGAAGTAAAGATTACAATAACGCATATATTGTTCATAATAATATATTTTTTAAGCTAGAAGAGAAATTAATTTCACTACAGAAAACGAGACAGTCGTCAGGCAGGTATAACTGACAGTTGTCATTTATATAAATACATGAGTTTGATACAAATGACGTCATGCCGAGCGCACCTTAAGTCTAACACTTCCGTCTCTCTTAATCCTTTGAACTGACTCCTCTTCAACGAAACCAAGCGGTTGCCGTGTAAGTCTAAAGTACGTAGCTTCTTTAAGTTCTGGAATGAGAAAAACATTATTTTAATGGATCGTTTAAAGCTTACTGCATATGGAATATGCATAAATGAAAATAAGTTTGGACGCAATGTACTCAAAATATCTACAAGTATATTTTAAACTTGTATACTGGTTTTGTAATGTAAATAGGTACTTCTTTGATCTAAGCCCAAAAGCATATTCAAGCTGTTTTAAATGGTCACACGGTTGTCACCAATGTTTCTTTCAACTACATCGTTCAACGTTGGCCTAGAGGTTTAGTAAACTCGACTGCACATAACGACGTCTCGGCTTCGTATCCCGCACTAGGCAAAATCTTAATATGGTATTTTGAATGTTCTAAGAGAATTTCTAGAGTCAGCCCTGAGTTAGGAGTATGCGTTTTGACCTCCGTGCTTCGAAGAGCACGTTAAGACCTTGGTCTAGGTTATCTTTCCGAACTGAACCTTGGTCTAAGCTCTCTCATTCATATAAAAGGAGTGACGGCAAGTTTATTGCCAGTTCTTCTCGTTCGTTCTACGCCCTTGATTTGAGAACTGATAGTAAATGTAAAGTTAGATTCTATAATTATTTTGTGACGTTCACGTACATAGTTACCTACATGAATAAATGATTTTTGACTTTGACTTTGACTATAATAGGAAACCTGAGCTAAGTTGAAAGGCACCTTTTGAACCCAAAACATCTCAAATGAGACAATAGGCTTACTTGGAAAGCATCTGGTGAAATGTCAGATATCAATCCATTAGCAAGATGAACCTTCTCCAACTTCCCCGCCGCGAGACTGCCGGCGAAGATGTCTTTGCCGAGAGACTTAATTCTGTGTCCGTCTATTGATAGCACTGATAAGTTGCCTAGGATCTGAAATAAATTGACATATCATTATGATTAATACCAAGCCAAGGAAATTAAAACGGCAATAGTTATTTACAGTGCACATAGTTAAAGAGTTCCACTTAAAAATAGGTTACATACAAATAAGATTAGGACATAATTTCAAAGACAGACAATTCTTTCAGTATTAATGACCATTCATCTGCATTCTATGTGTTTATTCTTAATTAATTCCCTATACATTTCAATTTTACTTTAGAATATAGAGCGCATACACCCGGACGAGAATCGAACTCACGAATGACGCGTACTTTGCTTATGTATGCGATCAACAAACTAAGCGAAAACAATGAAAAAAGAATTATTAAAATTTACGTAAATTTACGAATTATTTAAATTTAAATTTATTTACAGTACTTTTTGAGTTTATCCATTACTTACATACAAAAATACAAATCTTTCTTCTTTATAATATTAGTATAGATAATACCATAATAGGCCTGAATCCCAAAGATTTGGTAAAATTATTACCTGAAAGGCATTTTTAGGGAATTCTTCAATGACTGTGTTCTGCAAGTACAATTCCTGTAGCGTCCTATTTACCCCCGCGAAGGCATACTCATCTATGGTCTTGAGGGGCGTATCTTTTATGTACAGGATTCGAACTGACGATCTATGGAGTAGGGGCCCGAAAAGATTCGCTGAAGAAGAAATATTGTTAGTTTAACAGTTAGTCGATTTGATCTAGGTATAGTAGTTAATAGGCTGTGTTTAAAATTCGAATCATAGGTTAACATGATAATTCGTTTCGGTCGAGCAAAGCACAGATGTTGGACAGAAACAATTGGTCGTCCCATGCCCCAACGGGGAAACGCTTATACATTCATTATCACTTATTCATTATGTAATTAATAAAATAAAAATTAAACAATATTTGTCTTTTGTTCACTCAAAAATAAAGCCCTTTTCTTTGGGCTAACTTACATTATTTATATATTTTCGGTATTTATTTTGTACCGTCATATTAAGTAAAAATAAAATGAACACTACACTGTCTGTAGTTTTCGCGAGTAGTACACATTTAAATATAACACTTTAACGGTTTAAAAGGCGATTTATATTATTTGAAAATTATTTTACCTACGGCCCGACGTTTCGAATGCTTTACAGCAGCCGTAATCACGGGGTGTCCCCATATATGTTTAAAAATATATATCGCGTTTAAGCCGTTAGTGTTTTATTTAAATGAATAGTATATTTACATAACATTTTAAAGATAATATATTTTATTAGCAATCATAGAAACGCTTTAATAAAAAATATTATTTATAGACTAACGAAAAAATTGCCTTTTCCGAATTCCCAAGCGCGTCATTAAACTATTAAATAATTCTTGTTGATACAATTGACGTCATTTCGTAAGGTTGAGCAAAAGCCTTGCTTAGCATACATAAGCTATGCGAAATGGTCATGGCTAGCCAGTCGCGTTGTAAGATAAAAATATTATATCATTGTTATGCAACTATGTACTGATACTATTGCCAATTCGCGTTACGTTGGAATACGGAAACATGGGTTAATAGTTTCAACTTCCAGACCATAATAATTATTATAAACACAAAAACATGCCTTGTCTGTGATTTATTTAATATAGGTTCTATATTCACATAAAATTTTTGCTCTGAAATCAACTCAAGCGTCTGACAGACTATTGCAAAGCGTCCGAAACGTCGGGTCGTAGTTAAGATGAATACAAAATAAGTTTAACTAAAAAATGAAGTTTGCGTTTAAAACCGTTCAAAGTGTTGTGTGTTACAGTGTGTACTACTCACGTAAACTACAGATACGGATAACAAACGTTATCTAAAATTTATAATGCTATTTGGGATTTTAACAAATAGGAAAAATTTACAAACAACAGGTATATAATAGTAAAAGGATTAGACTTTATAAAATAATCACTCACAATGATAACATTTTAGTATAATAACCATATTTTTATATATAAAAAATTACTTACATATTTTACATTCTTCTAACACTAGTTGTTCAATTGGAAAACCTAATCCAGCCAAATTTCCCAGACCAACACTCATAACAGCTAAACCAGCATTTGAGCACCGAATAAACAATCCATTATCCGTCCCTTTTTCACACACACATGGGTAGAGTAAGTGCTTTTCTGTCTCTTTCGGACATGTATATTTCGGTCCAGGAGGGATGTATTCTGAATTTAAAATTTGGACTATTGATGACAGGATAAATAATGTTAGTAGCATTTTAACCTGAAAATAAAGAAATAATAATTCAATATCAAAAATAAAAAAAAAATTGAATGTGTTTAATATTAGTAAATAAAAAAAGTGTTTTCATTGAGAATTCTTAATTGAACAAGATATCAAAAAATACACATACCTAATTACTACATATTTAAAACTAAGCAGTTGAGTATTACTTAATAATAATAGAGCCATAATTAACAAGAGGTCATTAATATAAAATTCCCTAAGATTAATAGTCATAATAATCATAACAACAAAGATATTACTTAATCAATACTATATAATAAAATACAGGTTTTTCCTTAATAAAGCGAAATTTTAGCAATTCCTTATTACAAGGAAAACCCCTGTGACTAATGCAAAATTATACAGTCCCCAATAGGGCCAGGGACGTAGTACATAGTAAACAAAGCATGAAAAGTTTAATAAAAAGTACAAGTTAATATACTTTCAAGGTTAAAATATAATAGGAAGTATTTTAAAGAAATACAAATCGTCCATAAGTCCAAACAAGGCCAAAAAAACAAGTTTCCAATACATAAAGCTAGGATATACCAGAATGCAGATGATATAGATTTTTTATTAAAAGACTTTGAACAATTTCATGCATAGAAAAACAAAGGAAATAATATTTAATCTCACTGCTTAAAGTTATGAACATAAAAACTTTCACTTAGAACAACTTTGTATCTAAAACATACCTGTGAAAAATTCATTATTCACTGATGACTGTACGTTTATACGAACTAAATTTGTTAATTTTTAATAATAATCACATAATATTAATTCGTAAATCACGCAATAATTAATCAGAAGTCACATAATACACCCCTACTCCATCAATGTCAACAGGACACTAAAAAATTTAAATCAGAATTGGGAAATCCTTCATTCCTGAGTTGCCAAATGTCAATAATGTCATAAAATGACAACTCCACAAATATGTCACCCTTTTTTGACAGCTGACACATAGACTGCAATCTTACAGTTTACTCTGTGACTTCTGATACGGATTACCATAATGCTCTAATAACATGGATTTAAGGATGAAGCAAAAAATAAACAATTAACTTAATTAAATTAATTGCAGAAATAATTTCTGTAGAAAGGGCTTAAGAATGTTTAAATGTAAAATTTATAGCTTGATTTTGGCATTGTCAGTTTTGTGCCAAAAGTAACAACTTTTGCTATGATACTTATAGTTTTCTTTATATTCACAAAACTTTACAGTGATTATTTAATCCTTTCTTAATATTTATTTTAAATCTTAATGTTCTCAAATTACTAATAACATTCGTCATTCAAAGTCAAGAGTAACTAAAAAAATTGCGCCTGATTCATTAAAAAGACAAACGGCGACAGCAAATTTAGAAAATGCCAGCCAAGAAACCAAAACGACCGGTACAAAAAATCAGATGCGATGAAATTCAGGGGGAAAGGTTTCATGCTCCAACAGAGGATGTTCTCCAACATAATTGGTGGGAGGTATTCTGCTTCCCCTATATCTTATGTGGTCGTTTATGGGATTGTTTTGTGTCCCTCTGCTCGGGTACCAACCAGTGTCTCGTTTACTGGATGGTCATACAATGGATGGTATGTAAAATAACGAAACTGACCACGCCAGACCCTATAGTGTTCCCTTACTACTTCTATATGTTCTGCCAAGTGATTTTGCTCACAATATTTTTTATTATGCTTTGGATTTGGTTTGGGAAGAGCGTGGTTATTCCATATTTTGAGGCGTTCTATATAGCCATAATGGAAATAGATGTGAGAAAAAATGTGAACACGACAAGATTGTCATTCAGAAGGTATTGTTTCAGGAAGAGTGAAATATTTGAGGACTCAATGGAGAAATCGGCGTCTGAGTACAGGATATACAGTCCTATGCAACCAATGTTGACTATTTTTGTCAATTATTTCATGAACGTTATCGATATTTATTAAAAATATTATTGCTTTTACAATTTATTACATGTCTTACCACTTTTTTTGTCAACGCGACGGAATTGTTTAAATCGGGGGTTTAAATAAAGGTCTCGCATAAAAAAGGTGTAAAAGTGGGAGATAGTTACTTGAAATTTAACGTAAGCCGAATAAATATTCTATCACTAAGTCATTTTTTCTCTCGATCAAATATATAACGAGAAGCTTATTTCTTCTATGGCGAGTGGAGATATAAAACTTAGTTTTAATTAAAATGGAATAAATATATACGATTTAATAATATAAGGAAATATAATAAGGACGATGCATTTGTTTTAAGTTACGGGTTAAACAATAAGCTTGTTAATTATTATAATTTTGCCATGAAATTCAATGCAATTTATAAAAACAATTAGTATTGAAATTAAAATTTATATCGTTTTTTGCTGATTTCTCCTGTAGATAGCTCATTTACCTCATGGCAATGTTTATAAAATGAACCAGTCGTGTTTCAACCTCCTACCAAAGTAGTCAGGAAGTAGACGTCCCCGTCACACTTTACAGACTTAAATTAGTCTGTGGTTGTCGCTCGACGGACGGTCGTACGTCAAGAAAATGTCGAGAAGTGTGTCAAAGTAATTTTATTTCATAATTTTCAATAATCGTCCAATATTCTATCTCGACTTTATTAAATTTGTGATTGAAATAGTTGTGTCACGTTGAATAATATTGTTCGCTTCAAAATACTGCATCAGAAAGTCACCTGGTAAGTACTTTTCTTTAGGAATTTTCACGTAACGAAAAGAGAAATTTCCTTGATTTTCAACGAATTTCTAAGTTATTTTTTGTTTTAAAAGTATTATCACTTTTAATTTAACGCGGCAAAGATTCAAGAATTTTGTAGGGTTATATTATTGATAGTAAAAGTGTCTGTTTTTTAATTTGTCGTTTATTTATCCTTTCGCGTGTTTATCATTAAGTTAACAATTTATGGCTTTTACATAGTTGTCGTGTTCATGAGCGAAATGAGCTTACGATATGATAAAAAGTGAAATTCGTAAACTTTCTGTGTCATTCAACTCTCTCTCTTAAGTGACCTTGATTTTTTTGGCACAGATTTTCAAATGATGAAAAATACAACATGCTTTCTGACATTATAACATGCTCTATGGGTGTTTAAATGTATATAAGATAAATACACATTAGTTAAAAATAATCTAATAGGATTTTAAAAATTTCATAGAAACAGAATTAAAAAAATGTGTCTTATGAAATAGTTTATTTAATCAAGACTACATATTCTGCAAATGTTGTCTAACTAAAACTCTTATAAATATATTATCTGTTTACGCATCCATAACAGTCATGTTAAATGATATGTATATCAAAATTACATTTATTTATAATAACTTTTAAATTTTCTAAATAAAAGATCATCCGATTTTTTTTTTATTTATTTAAAAACAAACAAATAATTATCAATGCAAAAAGTTAGCAGAATACTTCAAGTCGGTTTGCCTTAAAAGCAACACTCTGTCATATTAAGTTCAGCTTTCATATGACATTTTCTTGAAAGAGATTGAATATGTCAATCTTTAATTGGTTTATTGCACTTTGTTGCCCATAAACTCTTTTCCTTATTTATTTATAAGTCAAGATCATTATATCATCTTATATTAAAGTTGTGTTAACTGGGATAATAAATTACATTTTCTTGTGAGAGAACATACATATTTTTTTACTAACCGTAATAGATAACTTTTTTATTACAAAAAATTAAGCATTGTTAGTGAAATAATAAAATAATACTTTATCTAAGCTATCATAATAATTATTATATATTTTTTGCCACAAACTATTTTGTAATTAAACGGAGAAACATTTGTGTATATTATATATGGTCATTCAGTTTCAACCCCAAAGTAAGCGCCTCAATTTTTAGTGATCAATTAGAATAAACATGCATATTATGGTGCAAAATAAATTCAATTATCTGATAATCTTCTCTCCTAATTACTTTATCGTGCTAGCAAAAAAAGAAGCTAGCACATTTTGAAGAATAATCAGTGTAGTCCCAATACCCCAGTGCGGCGCTTAAGGCAGACATATTTTAGCTTCATTGATTGATTGCCATCACACACAATGATTTAGGCCTAGACTAAAGTACTAGTAAAACTAGTAGACTTCCTTGCCGAGCCTGACCGAGTATAATAATGGTTTTTATGTTACCCTGTGATTCACGACTGTTTTAAGTACAGAAGTATGATCAACATCTGATCTAACAACAATGACAACGCACACAATTTTGGTTGTTCCCTATCCAAAATCTATATTCAGGCTATGAGTTATTTCAAAACATTTCCTGTTGCATACAGATGGGCTGATACCAAATGAATGCCTCAAGAATAATAAATGTTTTGCGTCACGCCGCTCGGAATAATCTTAACCGATATTTTAAACTCAATGGTTATAGTGTAGCGCTTTTTCGAGAGTCTTAAAAGCCACGGTTTGCATATCATTCCTTTAATGCCTTAGTTTTTTTGTCCTTAGCAAATCCAATTTAATTTAAATAGATTCCTTGGTAGAGGTACTCCTCCCAGTTTAACGATATAGGAGTACATGATATTATTGTTCAACGTGAATTCAACTCATTTGAATTTTTTTTTTTTAATACACAATATATTGTTGCTACCAGAATGCTAAATGCTACTAAAATGCTATTGTGCCTACCGGCTAAACAAACAAACAAACGAATTCACGCCTTTGAATTTTGTACCGCGTTCCAAGAAAAATATAGTTAGATATTTTTATTAATCCATTAGTTAGGTTTTTAGTGGAGCTAAGGTGATCTAAGAATAGCAATTTCTAATTGGACGCAGCGCACTATTCCTCCTCATAATTGCGAGAAATGTTTGCGGAAAGTACACCTTACATAATTGTATTTTAAAATTAATAATTACTCATTCGAGCTAAAAATATTTCTTCTTCGGATTTGGCACGAAAATAAATGTGTGTTTGCAAATTGTTTGTGCATTGTATTGTATTTTATTTGTTTTGACATGAGATAAATAGAATTCAGTATCTGACGTTGACGCGGGTGCTAAACAATAATAAAACACTAAAGACCCGAATGTTTATTAACATGTGAAAAATATTAATGTTTTCAATGATTTTTAACTTCGGCCCGACGTTTCGGATGCTTTGCAGCAGCCGTGACACGGCTAACTAATATATCGCGTTTTAGACCGTTAAAGAGTTTTATTTAAACATCGTAATATGTTAATTATATTGACGCTGCGGTACATAAAAGTACAGTATTGTAGCTAGTAAGTATATCAAATACTTTTAAAATGTACCTGTTTAATGACAAATAAAGACGGGTCTAAACCCTGAAGCATTCCGAGTCTAGGCAGGACCAATATTCAATTTGTATGGCTATATAATCGTTTCGATAATAGGTAGTTCACTTTGAACAAAAATTTCGTAATGTATCAACCTTGTCGATTTCTCAAAAATTGACACATATAATATGTATATTTAAGTCGGCTTGTTAACATAATTAACACATATAAACCAGTCTCTGTTGACATTACATATTTATGGGATATTTGCCAACGAAGGCATTGGTTTACCCTGCGAAGGCTGCTCGAATGGGCTCGTCTATAGAATATCGTTGAAAAGATTTTCTTTATTCAGAAATATCTAAAATCTCGTCGTTTGCGCTATCGTGTGAAAATTCTAAATATTCTATTGTTTTTGAGTGCAAAAAAATAAGAAAAAGTAATAAATTTTAAGTGCTGTTGAAATAAAATTTTAAATTTTTAAATCTATCTTATTATCTCAATAATAAGTATTTAATGCACCATTTCTTCTGTAGAACTGTTTTCGCAGTAAATAAATATTTTTTTCACAGTTCTCTCTGTTTCTTTGCTCTTTTTGGTCACTACTTGATGTTTTAAACCCAAAAACATCCCTCGTTAAATGGTCGAACCAACACAGATTTTTCTTTTATTCGAGTTAGTTGTTCCTAAGATTAGTGCGTTCAAACAAACCAAGTCACCAGCTTTATAATATTAGTATATATATATATAATTTATTATGACGATGTTGATAGATTCTTCTATAATTTTTTCTTTACTAAACTTTATTTACATAAAGGTAATGAACAGATATATTGTACAACAGCACAGGAGTAACAAAGAAGAATAAAGTTTAAATGCGTCCTTAAATTCATAGATAGTAAAGTCAAGTATCAAGTTGCTTTAAATAAATAAGTATTTATTGTATTGAGAGAAGAATCTAGAATTTTTTCTATATACTAAATAGAAAATACTAAAAATCCTCTCGTTAATTAATTTAAAAAATAATGTCTTCTTAATGTGCTATTTAGGTTATATAATTATTTACCTCATGGTTAATCATTTTGAAAAATTATAGCTAGCAATTAACTATTTCAATTGTTCGTTATAAAAACAGTTATTCTATATATTTCCTATTTATCCACTACTTTTTTGATTATCAATGTCTCGAAAACCCAAGAAGCTTTTTATAAATATGTTGTATGTGTTTATTGTTTATTAATATCTAGAGCAAAAATATCTAGCCCCCTTAAATAAAAAATATATAGTATATACATAAAAATATATTATTTTAATTTACCTGAGTATCCGTTAAAATTCTAAGTAAGTGTTTATTAATGTAAACCATTCCTTTGGTGTCTAAGTAATAAATTTATATAAATAAATACGCACATAATGCAAAAAAGAGCAATACTATAGTTTCTGTTGTATGCGGGCCCTATTATATATAATATATTGTTTATTTTTAATATTTATTGCTATAAATGCAACAGATAAAACAAGTTGTAAAAAATCAATTCTCTAACTATCGAGCTTCTTATCTATTTCCTTATTGAATTCGTATCGAGATACAGCCTACCACACAGTGTAGTCTTAGGTAATACGGTTTATAAGTATTTAATGTTTGGTTACAAAAGTGATTTCATATTATTGTTATTATATACGTAACAATAGGTTTTGTATTTGTAAACATACGGTTGATTCCTCATCAATTGAATGCTGTTTTTTTAATGAAAAAATACAAGGTACTATAGTAAACCGTTTTTTAAATAATTCAAGCGTCCATACCTATGATGAGGATTTGCAGATAACTGTCCGATAGTGTTGACAGATTGTAAAAAAATGATTATGTAGAAAAAACTCGAGACCTTGCTTCCTTCAGTATCATTTAAAAATTATAATAATGTCATTATTCAATTTGATTTTTAAATACGTAATATTACGAGTTAATTTTAATACTCATAATTATTTTTATTTTGTCCACAGATACAACGACAATATGAAGGTTTGGGGAGCACACGGAGAGTTTTGCGCGAGGCATCAATGGGAGGTCATCGTCGCGACCCTGGCGTTGCTGGCTTGTGCAGCGAGCGTCGAACGGCACGCCACGGGACAGAGGTCGGAACACTGTGCCGGCTGGGCCAGGGCGTGTCCCGGCCTCGAAGCGGAATACCAAGCCGCCGACGCGGTCGTCATGACCATCGTCCGCTGTTCGGCACTTTTATACGCGTATTACCAAGTCTCCAATCTGCAGAAGATCGCCTCCAAATACCTCTTAATCCTAGCCGGTGTTTTCTCAACATTCGCCAGCTTCATATTCACTTCAGCATTGGCCAGTTTGTTTTGGACCGAGCTGGCAAGCATCAAAGATGCTCCATTTTTGTTCTTGCTTGTCGCGGATGTGGCAAGAGGTGCTAGGATGGCCAAAGCCGGCTGGTGTGCTGGCGAAGACCAAGGGAAGAGGGTGGGAAAAGCCCTGTCATTATTGGGACCGACAGCGACGTTAGATACGCTTCTAGCGGTTCTCCTCGTCGGTGTAGGCGGTTTGTCCGGCGTGCCTAGGCTCGAACACATGTGTACATTCGCCTGCCTAGCGCTGATGGTCGACTACTTAGTATTTGTAACGTTTTACCCAGCTTGCTTGTCGCTGGTCGCGGACTTTGCGTCCGGGAAAAAAGATATTTCCTCCGATAACCCGTTCATGGCATCTGACTTGAAACCGAACCCCGTAGTCCAGAGAGTGAAAATGATCATGGCCGCTGGATTACTATGCGTTCATCTCACCAGCAGGTGGCCTTCGGCGAGAGATAACGACATGATGGACGGGTCGCTGAGCAACAATTTCAAGCCGTCACAGCACGATAACGTCTTACTGCACTCGTACATCAAATGGTTCTCGGTGTCCGCAGATTATCTAGTAATTGCAACTCTACTATGCGCTCTGATTATCAAATTCATTTTCTTCGAAGAGCAGAGGAATTGGGTTATCGACATGAACGATTTAACCGTTAAGGAAGTCGTGCAGAACGAACGACCGGTGTTCACATTGGGAGAAGACCTTAAGACCGACGCCGGAATGCAAACGGACGATCTAGTGAGTTGCGTCGAAGAGGAGTGGCCGACATTGTCGCCCAGCTCTTCTGTTGCCAGACTGAACGCAAAGAAGCGGCCGATGGCCGAATGCCTCGAAGTGTACAGATCTGAAGGCGACTGCACGTCTCTAAGTGACGAGGAAGTCGTAATGCTCGTTGAACAGTCGCATATTCCACTCCACAGATTAGAGACAGTGCTCTGTGACCCCTTACGAGGTGTCAGATTACGTAGGAAAATCATATCCAGCCGATTCCAAACTGAAGACGCCGTTAAATTGTTACCCTACCTAAATTATGATTACAGTAAAGTCATGAACGCGTGCTGTGAAAACGTCATTGGCTACGTCGGGATTCCAGTCGGTTACGCCGGTCCTTTATTTGTTGACGGTAAGGCGTATATGATACCTATGGCTACTACAGAGGGCGCTCTAGTCGCTTCAACGAACAGAGGAGCCAAAGCGATCGGACCTAAAGGAGTCACCAGCGTCGTCGAAGACATCGGAATGACCCGGGCACCAGCCGTGAAATTACCTAACGTAGTGCGGGCTCTCGAATGCCGTCAATGGCTGGATAACAAAGACAATTACAACCTTATCAAAGACGCTTTCGACTCGACATCTAGATTCGCCCGCCTCCAAGAAGTTCATATAGGTGTGGACGGAGCCACGCTGTATCTCCGTTTCAGAGCCACCACGGGCGACGCTATGGGTATGAACATGGTGTCGAAGGGCGCTGAAAACGCGCTTCAAGTACTGAGGAACTTTTTCCCCGATATGGAAGTAATAAGTCTCTCTGGCAATTACTGTTCCGACAAGAAAGCCGCGTCTATTAACTGGGTTAAAGGACGAGGAAAGCGAGTCGTATGCGAAACTACGATCTCTGCGGAAAGCCTACGCACTATCCTAAAAGCTGACGCTAAAACACTGGCACGCTGTAACAAAGTCAAGAATCTGTCGGGCTCCGCGCTGGCCGGGTCCATTGGCGGTAACAACGCTCACGCCGCGAATATGGTGACCGCTCTCTTTATAGCCACGGGGCAAGATCCAGCGCAGAACGTAACGAGCAGCAATTGCTCGACGAGCATGGAAGTGTGCGGAGAGAATAGAGATGATTTGTACGTGACGTGTACGATGCCGTGTTTGGAGGTGGGGACCGTCGGCGGGGGCACGGTCTTGACTGGGCAGAGCGCCTGCTTGGAAATCTTAGGGGTCAAGGGCGCCGGCGTTCGACCGGCCGAAAACTCGGCTAGGCTGGCCTCTCTCATTTGCGCCACAGTCTTAGCTGGGGAACTAAGTTTGATGGCCGCCCTCGTCAATTCCGATCTGGTGAAATCTCATATGCGACATAATAGATCGAAGGTGAACGTCCAAGGTTCATCCAATGATATGACATTAAAAGTACCAAAGTTATAACGTGGCCTTTCAATTTTTTAGTTTGTGACGTAGACTTGACTTGAGAGGGTTTTTGGGCCTGTTAAGCTTGGCTGTTGTAGTTCGTCTTAAACGCGAGAGTTACTAAGAACAAGTAGACTAAACATTGTAAAAAAATCTTAGTTTTTCTCAATAGATTCGCCCCTCTTGCGTTAAGGATTCACGTAAATAAAAGTGTTAAGACCGAGAGGCTTATGTTTTAGATATTTTAATAAAATCAAGTGTGCTTCCATTAGCTTTATTCACAAGGGATGATTTTAAAAGTGTTTTTGACTATATATGGCTATGTTCTTTGCGAATATCGACACACTGACATGAATGAAAATTTAAATAATTCTATTTTCAATAATGGGTACATGTGTATTTAAAGATAAACTTATTTTACGGAATGCTGTAAACGATGTGACATTCAATAGATATGAAAAGAGAATGTATTCAAATTTTAAATAGTATAGGTAAAAATAATGTACTTAACTTGTAAGAATATTTATTATAGTTTAGAGGTTTTGTCAGGGCGTTGGCTATATGCGCCTCCGATGTGCGTGTAATCATATTCAAGTAGGTATACTTGAATATAACAAGATCGTCAAATTAAGAATTACTATTCTAACCACATTGTTAAAGTAGCCTTATTAGTTTAGTATTACGTAGAATTTGTTACGAAGCTAAACATAATAGAATCGGCCGCTAATTAAAACGCAAATATTACACAATATCAATGTTATACGGACAAATTTGCTTTTAAGGGTAATATCCAATATCGGTCCTTCAGACCGGACCGGCTGGTTACCGTCAAACAACGATTATTTGCAAAAGACTTATTTAAGAGTAAATAATGTCATATGGCGGATCAATTTTTAAATAATGGGATCTAGGCTTTAATTTAAAAAATATACTATTGTTTTCTGTTTAAATTGTCGTATTTTTAATTTCACTCTTCTTGTTTGAAGTCATGACACGATGACTCTATCACTTTTACCATAGAACATTTTATTACTTTTTTACTGGCTTTCTGATTGCCTTACGGCTGTAGAAACGCAGTCACTTTCGTCGACTTAAACATAAAGATCTTAAACGCACAATATATTCTAAACAATCTCCTATAACATTATTTCGACGCTCCTTAGCGTGTATTTAAAAATCCGTGATTCGGTGTTTTCAAAACTACTTATATTCGTTATAACATTTAGATGTTATGACTTAATCTTTTATGCTGTTCGTGACCTTACAGTAAAAGGAATCGTAATAATTTCCCGACTTATTTACTGTTGGATTATACTGGCACGACATACCTATGCAATACGGTAAAAAAATAACTCGATTGAATTTCGATATTCCATGATCTGTTTTACACCCTCCATTTCGTGCCGTCATTAATCTCGTACTTAAATAAAATGCAGATTTAGCCAGTGTATGTACTATACACTAATTTAATAATAATAAATGATGATTTGTATCTAAAAAGAATGGCTGCATATTTTCAGTCGTGACGAAATATTTGGTAACACTGCATCAACCTTCAAAGACATCTCTGTGATTGCGTGTGCCACACTAAGCACAAGGTCTCTTACGAAAAAACCGCTGACGTCAATTTTGGCGGGAAACGTGACAGTTACAATTTTTTGTTGGCAACCGCGAAATGGATAATAAAAAGCATACGTAAATAAACAAAATCTCGAAAGACGCGGTATTTGTTTCTAGTTTATAGAGGGGAATAATTGTATTTTTTGCGACGTTGATTTTTAAATATTATAAAAATGTTATTGGTGATAGAACTTTTAAAGGTGTAGGATTAAAGTATCGAAGCTGTGAATGCGAAGGCCTTAATATGGCGATCCAATCAAATTTCTCTGTAAACCATAATTTCAAGCAGTAGACAAAGTAATATGGAAAGTTATAATTTTTCTGACGTCACTTTACATTTTTATTTTTCCCCTTTCCTTTTTATGTTCAATTTTTCTTCAGAAATATTCAAAGGAAAAAAATAAATAACGATACGATTTATAACACCACAGATTGTGTGCTTATATGAATATTACAAACACGATAATTATTAGCGTGAATAACTCGTAAATTAAAAGGTAAACAAAGGGATAGGAATGACTCAGGCGCTACTCGGAAACACGAGAAATTTGTTTGTCTATGGTTTTCACGTTGCGTATTTTAAGTCTGTGGTGTTTAAAATTTGCGAGAATTGTGACGTACTTTAACAGAAAAAAACGTCATAAATCACATAATCAAAGATAAGTATTTATTTAATCTCGAGAACTATTACATTGTTCAACAATACAATTAATCCATGGTTTTAATTGCAACTATTAGATGGAAGAACCGGTTAAACCTTCCCCAACGAACGAAGCATTGTACACTCGTGTTAGAAAACCGTTAAGAAACCCGTTTCTAATTTACATGAACTTATATTTTTACCTGTTTGAATTTGACCTAAATCTTTAGCGATGTTGACTACTTGTCTATAAAATCAATAGTATTAAGTTTCTATCGGGATATCAGTGTCTTTTTGTTGTAACGCAAGTTCTATTTTTGTTAATATGCTATTCCTATTTAATAAGTACTATATGTAGTTTACGCGAGTAGTACACATTGAAATAAAAGACTTTAACGGTTTAAAACGCGATATATATTAGTAAACTTATTTGAATATTATTTTAACTTCGGCTCGACATTCTCCCCGTGCCTCCCCGTGACCACGGCTGCTGCAAAGCAAATTTCAAATAAGTCGCTTTTTAAACCGTTAAAGTGTTTTATTTAAATCATAAATAAAGCTTCAAGTCCAGTAATTTGTCACGACAAGCAATAATCTAAAAATAGAAGCCTCGCTTGGTTATTCCCCATTCCACACGAAGAGAAAGTTGTTCCAAGTTCAAGTCCGGTATTTCTCAAATGTATGTTTTAGCCTTGTGAATGTATTTTAGACTGATAATAATTGATAACGTGTAATTCTTAAACTAATTTATTGTACATACTACGGGCGGGGCAGTCATTATACTTAATTTATTATTAAATGATCTTAGCAGAATATGTGTTTTATTTATAAAATACAAATTTCTTAATATCCAACCGAAGATTCTTAAAAAACAACATGATTTGCGAAAACCATCACAAATATGAATGAAATTAGTCTTCAAGTTAGTAAAGTTGATTTTGAGTGTAAAATCTCTTCTTGTTTCTGAGTCAATGAATTAGTGAGGTGGTGTCAGGGGTGGTCAGATGCTATAGGCTAAGGCCAGAACAGTAGTGGCGCTAGACAACGAGGGGGTGAAATTAGAAATTATTATTTTAATATATAAGTCAAATTAAAGTTTGAATATACAAGATTTATTGCTTGTTAAATGATGACAAAACAAAGATATACGCAAATAGAAATTAAAATAGCTGAATTTTTCAGTTCACACTCCAAGGCGATGATACCGGTATTTTCTCTAGATGACGCAGTTTGTCTCTGTTTGGTTCTCCTGATATACTAATAATAATTAATATCTTTATTTGGCATTCATTAGTAGTAGTAGTAGAAATAAATGTAATGACAATAAAATAATTAATACGAAAAGATTGCTTTTAATTTGAAGAAAGGTGAGGCCAAAAGGGTCTTGCGTCAGCATCAGTTGCAGCACAGTTATGCTACAACACTGATTTTCGTATAATGACCAAACAAAAACATTGTAATAAAAATTGGTATTTTGTTATATGAGATACAGTACTGCCGATTTGTTATAACTCGATGTTTCGTAGATGAGTCCCAGCCCCGATACTTCTGGCCTATTTCACTTGATCGAAGGTGAAATACGCCAGCCATATAGTATATAGGGTATTGGATGTTCGGAAAACCCCAGACTGAACCGAAATGCGATTAAACTTTAAAATTTTTTTTTCAATTTATCGATTTTTAAATGATGAGAGACTCGTTGGACCAGGTGGGAATCGAACCCCATGGTAGAATTCCCTTACAGAAGACACGGGTTCCAGCTGTTTTCGTTCAAGTTGTTAATATTTCTTACAACTCTTAAATAATTGTACTTTATAGTACTATACAAACCTCTTTTATTCTTGAGGAAGATAGTCCCGGTAAATGCGCGTGCGCCTGAATACCCGCGCTCCTTAATTCGATTAAAATCTCATTCCTCAGAAACTCTATCGCATCATCGCGTGTTTTCCAAACCAATTGTGACATGAATGTAAAGAATTGAATCATGAATACATTGCTTACATTAAGCCTATAGTGTCTACAAATGTGTATGGACATAACGGATATTAATAGATTTAAATAAAACACTTGTAACCGTTTAAAACGTAAAATCTTTTAATTGTTTCAAAACGTACTATTAAACTACAGGTAATATTCAATAGGTATTCACATTGAAGTATTCAAAAGCACCGATTTCGAAGTTAAGATCATCTATACTAAAATATAAAATTGAAGAGTTTGTTTGAACGCGCTAATTTCAGGACATACTTACTGGTTCGAATTGAATAATTCTTTTTGTGTTACGTAGAACATTTTTGGAGGAAGGCTATAGGCTATAAAACAACACTGTAGCTAATAGGACAAAGCAGCGGGAAATGTGAAAAAATAAACGGGGAAATTTTTCATCTCTGTGGGTTTCCGATGCGTACGCTGCGAAAACGGTTCAAGATACCCAAAAAATATGTACCAAAGAATGATTCCTTTTTAAATATAAAAAAATGTCCGCGACGCTATATGTCTATCCTTGTAGATTAACTCGCACGAACGACGGGTCGCGAGCAACGGAACGCGTCCGACGTCGATGTCGGATAGCAGTTTAAATTTCCAAAGATGAAGAGGACTATTCTACGCAGACAAACTCGCTGACACAGCTAGTTAAGATTATAAGATCTTTAAGATTACGTTAGCATGTTAATTAAGAACGACGGGACGCAGACGACGTCGAGGGTAACAGATAGAATTTTATAAAGTTGAGGTTTGCAAAAAAGAATGTTGGTGCCCAAAATAAGTATTGTAGGCAGACGAAGTTACAGCTGGTGTTAAAATAAAGTCGACTAAGAACTCGCCCAAAGAAGGTTTCGTACCATTCTTACTTCTCAAACAACAGTAGGTATACAAAATTTTCATAACCCCTCTATTAGATACTGTCTATAGTTTACGCGAGTAGTTTAACTTATTTGAAAATGATTTTTAACTTCGGCCCGACGTTTCGGATGCCTTGCAGCAGCCGTGGTCACGGGGAGACTAAAGGAGGATGTCTCTGACGTCAAAAAATTGCTACGCTAGCGCCACCTGTTCCGTCGAAGTTGGTATTTGGCGAAACTGGCCGGGTCCTTGGTCCTTTTCAAATAAGTTTAACTAATATATCGCGTTTTAAACCGTTAAAGTGTTTTATTTAAACCCCTTTATTGCTTAAAGTAAATACAATTAAGCATTTATACACTATGCAATGCAAAATGTACAAATTTTCCCCTTTCTATATGGTTCGATGAGGACAAACAAGCCATATAACATCTAAACAAGATGCGCTGTCGTCCTATATTGGCTTTGGATATTCGGAAGTCTACTGACTGAAACCGGAACGCGATTAAATGTCGGTTCTTCATATGTGGACGGTACTTCGTAATCCGTACGGAATTTCGTTATTTCTACTAGCCATTTAATGTGCATATTTCCAGATGAAGTTCAAGATTTAAAAATTTAAGTGTTGCTCTGCTCAGAGCAACAGCGCGGAACGCCGACGATGCCGGTTCAAGTCCTGCCCGAGTCGAAATTTTTTTCAATTTATTTTCGATTTTTAAATTATATATTTATTTATTTAGCAAAAGGAAACAAACAGATACATTACATAAGTGACTAGGGAATAACAATAAAAAATAAATAAGGTTAAAATGCATCCTTAACAGTTTCACAAATAGTTAATTGTTATATACAATATGAAAAGAACAAAACGTCGAAAAAATTACAGGAAATTAGACAAAATTTAAATAAGAGTTGACAAACAAATAAAATTAATTATACGTTGAACTAAAAACTAACCGAAAAAAAACATAATTAAATTGAAATACCTAAGGCGAGATAAGCAATCTTTTTAATGTTTTTTTGAATGAAGCAGTAGAGGAGTGCAAAAACAAATCGATATCGGCAAAATGATCAAGGGAAGAACACATTCTGTCTATAGTGCCTTCATTTGCAATAACATGTACTTAAACAATAATAAGTCCAATATTGTTAAGAAAAATTTAAATTGATTAGAAAAATTTTAGACACGGTGGAAATCGAATCCACGACCCATGTATCAAATAGACTTAAAGCATGAAATATGAAGACAAAATTAGACTTATTCTTTTAAAATAAGACTATTAAAATTATCGGTCGGTACATCTATACTAATCTATAAAGCTGAAGGGTTTGTTTCTTCGTTTGTTTGAACGCGCTTATCTCAAGAACGGGTTGGAAATGAAAAAATCTTTTTGTCTTGGTTAGAGGAAGGCTATAGGCTATAAAACATCCCCCTTTGACTAATACAAGCAAAAATACAGCGGTAAATGTGAAAACAAATATTCAACATTATGGGTTACCGAGGCGTTCGCTGCAAAAACGGTTCAAGATATCCAAAAAATATGAATAAAACAATGATTTTTCTTTAAATGATTTTAAAAAGTGTCAGCGACGCTATATGTCTATTTTTTAAGATTACCTTGCATGAAAGACGGGAAGGGACGCGACCGACGTCGTGGGTAACAGTTTATAAAGATAAAGAGGTTTGCAAAATAAATATTCTTAGCGGACGGTGTCGCTGGCACAACTAGTTTTTATTTTAATAATTATAGAATTAATAATAATACCTAAAATCTTAGACTTCGAAGAATACGCGGGTAACGCGACACGATCAACATCACCTCTGTGTAAAATTGCATTTAAAAGAAATAAGAACCGTTTATTAACACCGAATTTAAGTTGCTATTATTATTTTACCTGAATTTTATCGCATACGTCAAAGAGGAAGAGCAAAGGGCTGTTTTTAATCGAGTACAGTGAAAAGGGGAAAGGATTGCTACCCACAACAACGAACATCTTCGTGCGTCTATTGTGAAGAGCGAATACAAGTTCTGTGTTAGTGAATGTTACAGTGCAAGTGTTAAGTTTCTAATAGGGGACTATATATATAGCTAATTAATAAGAAAACTAAATACATAAATCCCTTTCGTATGCAAGTAAATATTGTCTTGTGTACGTTTATTTAAACTAATTTTACCATAAGCGATTTGGCTGTTTGGATTGCGCTGTTCAGAACACACTCTCACTTGACGACTCACAGTTCGAACCTCACTTCGAAGATAGGGATTTTTTTTTTTTCTTTCTTTTCGTATTTATACTATTACAAAATGCCGATATGTATATCATGCTTAACAGATCTCGATCTGAGTACGCAAATAAGATGTACGAAATGCTCTAGAGGATGCCACAGCATGTGTGCGAATCTCAAACCAGATGTCACACCCGACTCTTGGACATGCCCACCTTGCTTGCGCCGGGATCAACGCGGAGAAAATACCTCACCAGACAAGGTACACGCCTCTAGTAATCGCCGCAACAAGGAATCGGGTCTCGTCGATCGCTGTGTATCGAAAGAGGATTTACAAAAATTTATCACAGACGGCATTGGCCAAGCTTTGGATTGCAGATTGGCCCACCTTGAAAACAAGCTCATCGAAAGCTTAAAGTCTTCCCTGTTTATTGAAATTAGGGAAGAAATTAAGTCAATCATTACCCCATTCCTTAAGGAGGCGGAGTGCCTTAGGGAAGAAGTCAATAAATTAAAAAATGATATACAAGTGAATAATTCCTATATTGAAGAACTGCGCTCACAGATGAATAAGCAACAACAATGGAACAGAATTAATAATTTGGAAATTGTTGGGTTACCACAGACTAGTAACGAATCGACACGTACAATTGTGCAAAAAATAGCAGACCATGCTGGCGTTGCGTTGCAGGAGGATGAGATTGAGTACGCAAATCGTGTACAACCGAAACAATCGGTATCCGGGCGACCCAAGGCGATTGTAGTGCGCTTGAAAAGCAGAGATCTAAAGGACCGTATAATCTCTGGTTTGCGTAAAAAGCGAGGTATACTAACTACTGATATTGGAATGTCAGGAGATTCGAAAAAATTCTTCGTAAACGAGCATTTGACCCCAGACAACAAGTACCTTTTAAAGAAAGCTAAGGAACGCGCTAATTCGAAGGGTTTTAAATTTGTGTGGGTTCGTAACTGTTGCATTTTTTTACGTCGAAACGAAGAATCCCCTGTTATTACCATAAACTTAGAACGGGATTTGGCAAAGATTTGTTAATTTCCTATTTTATCGCGTTTATATACATTGTGAAGTTTGATTGTATTTTAGAAACAGCAGGTTATTTTTTTAGCCTTTACGTGTATATTTATGTATTTTTATTTTGTCACTGGTTGGAGATTATTATAAAAACTGCGCTAAGGGCGTCAAAGCGTTGCATTATTCTGCATATTATTGTTATTTGTCTGTGTGTGTATGACCTTAAAGAAACTAAATTACTACCGTTAATGAAATTTTCTGACAAATGTGATTCTAAAGTTTTAACTAAATTTGGTACAATTTTAATCATTTATAATGCTTGATAATAGTTTAACTATGTTTTATCAAAACGTACGCGGTTTACGCACAAAAACCAACGAATTCTATCGAAATCTCCTAGCATGCTCATTCGACGTTGTTTTAGTTACTGAATCGTGGTTAAATAGCAGCTTTTATGACAATGAACTCTGCGGCGGTAAATACGAAATGTTTCGAAGGGATAGAACTTATGAAACATCAACTAAAAAAATTGGAGGAGGCATTTTTATTTGTATATCGCGGCATTTAAAGGCTTACGCCAGGCCCGAGTGGAATTGCCGTAGTGTTGAAAACATATGGCTTACTATACCCCATAGCTCTTTGGCATGCAAGGAGCGGAAAAATCTCCACATAGGGCTTGTGTATATTCCTCCTGACTCTGAACAATCAGATAGACTCGAGACGTTTGTCTCCGCGTTTCGAAGCGTAACAGAAAGTAATGTTGATGACTACTTCGTAGTCGTGGGCGATTTTAATTTATCAAATATTAACTGGTCAGCTATAGGGCCTACTCTCTTAAAAAAAGGATCATCTAAAATACAAATCATATCTAATATTTTTTTAAATGAAATTAGTAATTCAGGTTTAAAACAACATAATTTAATACCAAATAGTAGCAACAATATTTTAGACCTCATTTTTAGTAACATTACTCTCGATTGCGTTAAAGCAGATTCAGAAATGGTTAAGGCAGATACTCACCACCCCTGTCTAAAAATAGATGTCAGTGACTTAGTTCTCAGCAAATTACACCCAAAACCACAAATTAGACATAATTTCTATCGTGCTAACTATGCGGAAGTTAATAAAGCTTTGTCGCAAGTTGATTGGGCTACTATTCTAGTAGGGGAAACAATGGATGAGGTAACAGATAATTTCTATAATGTTTTAAATAAAATAGTTGTGACTACCGTTCCTAAAACGAGAGATAATAGTAGTAATAGGTTTCCTACCTGGTACTCACGCTCTCTAATTCATATAATAAAGAATAAATTAAAAGCCCACAGACGTTGGATAACATTCAAAAACCCAAGAGACTACGACGAATTTTCTTTGTTACGTGCTAGACAAAAACTTGTTGCTAGAAAATGTCTCGCGACCTACGAACAGAATGTGCAACAAAATATAATTAAAGATCCCAAAGCCCTGTGGTCATATTTACGTAATAAGAGAAATTGTAATTCCAGCTATCCTAGTACGCTTACGCTTGGAGATGAAGTCTTTAATTCAGAATCAGATGCTTGCGAAGGATTCAATAAATTTTTCTACAGCGTCTTTCAGCCCCCAGATCTTCATTACGATTTACCGCAACTTCCTGAGTCAGATGAAACTTACACTCAAGTAACACTATCTGAAATTGAAGTCTTTAAGGAATTAAAAGCCTTAAATATTACAAAAGGTCCAGGTAGTGATGGAATACCTGCAGTCTTTCTTCAACGATGCTGTAAGGAACTTTGTAAACCGTTAACTCGCCTTTTCAATCTATCGCTTAATCGATTTCAAAGTTTCCCTTCTAAATGGAAGGAAGCACACATAGTTCCAATACACAAAAAAGGTTCTCGGAATAAAATCGAACATTATCGACCTATTTCTATATTAAATACGTTTGGTAAGCTTTTTGAAAAATTGATTTCTAAAACGTTTAGTGCTTTTATTTTTAAACAATTACCTCAACAACAACACGGTTTTGCTAAAAAGCGTTCAACTATCAGTAATCTTTTAGTATTTACAAACTATATTTTTAGCAGTATGGACAAAGGGGAGCAAGTAGACGCAATTTATACAGACATAGAAAAAGCGTTCGATCGTGTTGATCATGTCATCTTATTACATAAACTTTTAGCGTTAGGTATTCGTGGGGACCTTTTTAGATGGATAAAATCATATATAACAAATAGAAGGCAAGCAGTTGTAACTGGTGGACTGAAAAGTGCATATGTTGAGGTGACTTCCGGCGTACCGCAGGGATCCATACTTGGACCGGTATTGTTTAATGCTTTTTTATATGATATTCAATTTTGCTTCGCAGATTCGAAATTTCTTATGTTCGCCGATGACACAAAAATTTTTCTAAAAATTAAATCAATAGATCATTGTGATAAACTTCAACAAGATCTCAATAGATTAGAAACGTATTATAAAATAAATAAATTATCAATTAACATAGACAAATGTAGCAAAATTACTTTTACTAGGAAAAATAATAAAATACAGTTTAATTACAAGTTTAATGACACCCCAATAAAAAATGTTAATTCAATTAATGACTTAGGTATACTACTAGACGATAAAATGAGCCTTTCTCTTCATATAGATCACGTAATAGATAAAGCATATAAACAGCTGGGCTTCATTAAACGTATATGTAAAACCTTCTCAAACATAAATTCTATTAAATGTATTTATTTTGCTTTTGTAAGAAGCATACTCGAATTTTCGTGCACGGTTTGGTCTCCACTTTACTTAAATCACATTGGAAAGTTAGAAAATCTCCAAAAGAAGTTTTTAAGATTCTTAAGTTTTAAACAATATCGAGCTTACACTGATTACACGGATTCATGCAAGCATTTTAGCATAGATTCTCTAGAATGCAGGCGTAAACAATACGACATGATGCTCTTGCACGCCATATATAATGGCTTAATTGACTCGCCGGACTTGCTTGAACTTTTAAAAATACGCGTTCCTTCAGCCTACAAAACCAGGCATTGCACCCTATTCCATATTCCTCGATCTAACAGTAACTATCTAAATAACTCAGCTATGCATCGCCTACCCAGTATTTACAATAAATATTACAGTGATCTCGATATATTTTATCTTAATAGATCGCGTACGAAAAATAAAATTAAACGCTATCACAGTCAGAAAATTTCCATGACGGATGATAAAAATAAAATGTAAAATTTAAAATCTACACACTACTTAAAATTCCCTTATCTATTTCCCTGGCAACTTAATTAGTACATTGGTAGACTTTGTTGTTTAAATTTAGCCCTTGTAATTATTATTTTTTTCTTGATTTTGTGTTCTCTATCATAAATTGCTGTTGCACAATATATTAGATGTGTATGTACATATATATTGTGCAAATACTACATGTCCTAAGATTAGCAATGTTTGTAAATCTTCTATACCTACTCAGCTTAAGTATTTTACACCATATTCCTTTTTGTGCTCTTTACCATAGTATTTTTTTCTAATTGTGTAATCCTGTTTTGGCTAATGTTTAGTGTTAAGTATGTTTAACCTATGTATACTATGTAGCTGTAGGAATACCAAATAAACGATAAATAAATAAATAAATGAGTAAACTAGCTGTGAAAAAAAAAAAAAAAAAAATACACGATTTAAATGCCACGCTTAATACAATGTGGATTTTCTTTAATGAATTCTCGTTGAAAAAACGAGAAATATGTATATAATTTTCCTGTCTTTGAGCCTTAGAAAGATTTTAATCACTTAGTTCACGTTCGCGGTCCCGTGTTTTTATTAAGTTATTAATTTAATTGTATACAGCAGCACGTGACTAGGCTTGAATCATATCACAACACTAGCTGACCTGTCAACCCTTTTTCCGCCATACGGTTTTTGTGAGTAAATTATAACGAAATGTACCTACTATAACGGGCGTTATTTAGATTGTTTTAAGATTAATATTTCTCTTACATATATATATTTGTTGTAGGTACCTTAAACTTTTAAATAAAACACTTTAACGGTTTAAAACGCGATATATTAGTTAAACTTATTTGGAAATGATTTTTAACTTCGGCCCGTCGTTTCGGATGCTTTGCCGCAGCCGTGAGAGTCTCCCCGTGACCACGGGTTAAACCGTTAAAGTGTTTTATTTAAATGTGTATTACTCGCGTAAACTATAGACAGTAGGTATCCTAAACTTTTACGCGAGTAAACTACAGACGGTTCAATATACCAAAACGGAAGCTTTGCAGCAGCCAGACTACAGACTACACAGCAGTGACCACGGCTGCTGAAGAGCATCCGAAACGTCCGGCCGTGTATATATCGCGTTTCAAACCGTTAAAGTAGTTTATTTAAATCTTAAACCGTTTTGCAGCGCACGCGACGGAACCCTCAAAGATTAATAACTTTCCCCGTTTTTCCACACTTTCCTCCGTTTCCCCGCTTCCTGTTTTATAGCATAAAGCCTTTCCCGATCCATGGTCCAACCAAGATAAAACGTATTTGTTTAGTTCTAACAAGTAGTTCTTGACTTTAGCGCCGTCAAACAAAGAAACGAACTCTTTAGTTTTTTTAGATTAGTATAGATTTGTGGTGGTCATATTCTCCGACAAAAGTGAATCCTTTCACAGACACATGATGGGGTTCGTCGGCCGAATAAATATAATAATAATATCAATGTATGCAGTATGGCTAATAATCAATGAAAGCGGGACGTGGGTCTGATCTACCGAGTCAAACATGTTTGTAATTAATTTATAAATTTTCAGAACCTTGTTGAACTTCGCCTGGAAATCTGTATATTAAATAGATGGCAGGAAATTCGCTGTTCAAGAACCACGTTCTAGATGAAAAGCCGGTTTTATCGCATTTCGGTGTCGGTCTATACTCTATGGACATCCGAATATCCGAAGTGAAAATAGGTATAGTCATTGCATCTTCCATCTAGTGAAGGTCATACGTATCTCCTTTATCAAAAAAAGACACACAATATACTCTTGTGCCTAATCCGAACGAAATAAATAATCCAATAGTGGATAGGTATATCTTTACCCCACTTCAAGTTAAGTATCCAAAGATATTAAATTAAACTTTAATATGTATTTAGTGTATAGCATTGTACATATTGTACTAAATATACTAGCCCTAGTCTATTTAGTTACTCTAGATATAGGGAATACACCTAAAGCGAGCTGTATCAGCCGGACTTTAAACCCACGATCCGTTGAAGATAGCATAGACTGCTACTACTGTAGAAACTCATCACGTGCAATAGCATGTGAAAAATATTATAGTAAGATATCTCGTGTATTTATTTTTTCCTCAAACGCGCGATTTTTAAACAAACGGTGTAGACATTTTTATTATGGTCCTTAATTTCAGAATAAAATAAAATTATAGTATATACCTGTATTTATATTAAGATAATATTCAGAAAATTTTAAGATTCTTTGTAGGTACTAAAAATACACGTGATGTTGAGAAGGGGGTGGTCTTAAACCTCACTACGTATCACCAATGGGGTGGGGGAGGGTTTAAAAATTCTAAAAAAGGTCACGTGATTAATGGACAACCCCTTAATTGAAATAGTATGAAACAATTATAATGATTATTAATAACGATAGTTTTTCACCGGATTCAACATATTTTCCTCGCATTGTTTTGTGCCATGTGCTTAGCCTTTTAATCCGTTTATAAGTAATTGTTTTTTGACCACTGCAGGCTTCTTATTACATGCTTAGAACCAGTGTTGAAGCCAAGGCCTTCGTCAGATGATTAGTATGGGGGGAGAGGAAAATAAGAATATTAGCAAGAGTTAGCCCAATTAAATTCAACATCATTAAATTTTAAAATAAAACACTGTAACGGTTTAAAACGCGATATATATTAGTTAAACTTACTTATAATTATTTTAACTACGTCTGACGTTTCGGATGCTTTGCAACAGCCGTGGCTACGGGGAAACTTTTCGATTTGCATTCAATATAAGTAAGAGAGGTGCCCCGGAAAAACAATGAATTTGTTTCGGTCGAGCAGGGCATACAAGTCTGCCTTTATTTATCGATCAGGAAAATTATACAGAAATCTATTCGCCCCATGCCCACATGGGGTTTCTCACAAATGTTACAGGGAAAGTTCAATATTTTTTATCTTGTTACCTTACTTTCGCAGTTGGTACACAACGGTCATCATTCAGTTTTATTGCTCGAATGAAGCGAAATTATTTTGAAGCGAGTATTTTAATAAAATTTAATAAGCGATGCGAAGTGCTTCCTGGAATCTTAATAATAAATAATAACCAGGAAATTATTTTTATTGCAATTTATTTGAAGTTATCTTTCGTAATACGTTTTGTAAAAAAAAAAACACCCGACACAAAAAACATCCCTACCCAAGATAAAGGGTCTCCCCGTTAAATAGTTACAATCACTAAGATTTTGAAAACCCAAGGCCATAAAACTTGGATTTCGTAGTCTCATAATTTAACTCGAAATAATAAAAAATGTAATTGTCTTACTAATAACATTCTTAGCGTGGAACATTCGTCACATGAAAAATATGACGTAAATGTATTATAATCGAGGTAAAAAACAATATTTTACCATGAAAGGAAAAGGTTTAGCTAACATGTAAAGTACTTCGGCTTATGAAACTGTTGTGCCCATTCTTTAGACCTGCTTTTAAGGGCCGCCGACCAGAGCCAGAAAAGCCGCGGAATATTCGCTATTGTTTATATAAAATACTGTCTATAGTTTACGCGAGTAGTACACATTTAAATAAAACACTTTAACGGTTTAAAACTTTAACTTCAGCCATGGGAGACTCTCCTCGTGACCACTGGCTGAAGTTAAAGTTTAACTAATATATCGCGTTTTAAACCGTTAAAGTGTTTTATTTAAATATTGTTTTTATATATAAATATTGTATGCAGTATCGTAGCCAGGTGGTCATGGGTCCCCGTAAATTAAGAACCTGGCTCTCATCCCCTCTTTACGCGTATCTTGAACTTATCAAAGCTTCCAAAGTTACAGATAGATACAAAAAGTTCGAAAACATTGCATATTGCACATGAAGGCATATTTAAAAATAGAAACTAAATTTTTAAAAATTTCGACTCGGGCCAATTGAGCTACCGAGTCACCTGACTTGACTTTATTAAGCTACTTGACTCGGTAGCTCAATTGGTAGAGCAACAGCACGGAACGCTGACAATGCCGGTTCAAAACTTGCCCGAGTCGAAATTTTTTTCAATTTATTTTTGATTTATAAATTAGAAACAGGCAGGGTTTTTTTTGTCCTTTACGCTTATCTCCTTTAAAGATCAAGTTAGGGCTCCTAAGCTCTGGGACTCGGGCGCACTGCTCCACCCGCCCCTACGATGGCTACGCCAGATTTATGAACTAGCCATAGACAGCCGGTAGCGGAAACGCTTCAAGACAAAATGTTTCTGTGACCGGTTGCCCATTACTTCCGCCTACCCCACGTTCTTGTGTATGAATCAACTTGTAATACAACGCAATTGTAAGTTAAACAATAGCTTTTACCATATTGAGAAAAGTATTTCCTCAATTTTCACACTTTCCTTACAATTTTCCCTAACATATCCTACGTGTTGCGTCAACGAAGTGGTGCATTTATAACAAAGATTAATTAAATTCGTAATCGTATGACGCAAATGTATAAAGAAATAACGTGGGTACCTATTAGGTGACATTAAAAATATATTACATAATATATTATTGCTCAAGGCATGCAAGAATCTTTTTATGCAAAACTAAAAACTGGAAACGACTAAAGCACGGCAAAACCTATATTCGTAATCCTCAGATTGAAAATTAACCGCAAGTTCAATTTTCCGACGACACATATACAGAATAAGAATATTAAGCTATCGTCCTATATAAACAGAGATTATATTGACAATTGAAGGTCGGGTGATCTGTCCACTTTAAGTACTGAGCATTTCACCCGATTCCTTCTTTATTCATCTCCAATACAAATAAAGAAACATACAAACACCTAATAATTTAAATTTAATGATCAGCTTAATGAAAATATATTATTCACTAGCTGTGTCTGCGACTTCGTCCGTAAGAATTGTTAGTTTGAACATCCAATGTCGTTTCGACGTCGATCGCGTCCCTCCCCATCGTTCTTGCAAGTTACTCTTAAAAGAAAGACATAAATAGCGTCGCGGACTTTTTTTTCAGATCATTTAAAGAGGAATCATTTCATTCATATTTTTTGGATATCTTAAACTGTTTTTACAGCGTAGGCCTTGGAAATCCACAATTAAGAATGATTTTGATTTGAAATTTTTTTCACATTCCTCGCTGTATCTTCGCTTGTATTAGTCACAGTGTGATGTTATAGTCTTCCTCGATAGAAGTTCTAACTGACACAAAAGGAATTTTTCAATTCGTACCTGTAGTTCCTGAGATTAGCGCGTTTAAACAAACAAACTTTTCAGCCTTATATATTAATGTCATGTATATAAAACCTAATTTTGCAATTCTATGTTTATGTATGGTTAGGCGGGAACAGCACATGCCTTACGGCGAAAAATGGAACACGTGGTATCGAATAAGACATCGATTATCTATACATTGTATTATAGCTAAAGAGTTTGTTTGTTTGAATGCGCTAATCTCAGGAACTACTGGTTCGAATTGAAAAAATATTTTTCTGTCGGTTAGAGCATTTATCGAGGTATTTCTTATTATTCTCATTGCTACTAACAGGCGCGACGAAACATTATGAAATGTAAAAAAAACAGGGAAAAATATTTATCTTTACGGGTTTCCGTTGCGTGCGAAATTTAAAGAGATAAAAAAGAATCTTACAATAATTATTATAATAAATATAAGATTATCAGTGATTACGGCACAATCAATTGTAAAAACGAATATAATCGACAGTACATGGAATTTGTAATTATTATTATGTTAGGCGATCGACAATTACTAATTAAATTAACTACGCGTATTAATTACAATAAATATAAAATACTGTACTTACACGTGGGCAAGAAATATGTTAGTAAAGAGTTGTAACGAAATAAAAACCTAATTCCCGTCTATAGTTTACGCGAGTAGTACACATTTAAATAAAACACTTTAACGGTTTAAAACGCGATATATTAGTTAAACTTATTTGTGTGACTGTGGAGTCTCCCCGTGACCACGGCTGCTGCAAAGCATCCGAAACGTCGGGCCCAAGTTAAAAATCATTTTCAAATAAGTTTAACTACTATATCGCGTTTTAAACCGTTAAAGTGTTTTATTTAAACTACTTACCTTTAAAAAATGCATTGTTACACTGCCAAAGTGCCTGTAAGCGTTTTTTGAAGTTAATTTAAATTTTAAAATAACATGCTTTTGTCGGGTATTTTAATAGAGATTGTTTTATTTCACTAGTTACTGTTATTAGTTATAGTTTTGGTTATTAAAACCTTAGCAGATTTTTTTTTAAACAGTGTTGAAAAAGAAACACTTCTTTTTTAAATTGGGGCATGGGATGTCAAAGTCAAAAATCATTTATTTACGTATAACGTCACATCAGTAAAAAACTAAACTGTTATATGTTGTTAATTTAACAGCTTTTACTAGTTAAATAAAAGGCAATTTAACGAACAATCGTTTAAGTATTTAACATTTCTTATAAACTCTTGTGTAGTAATCGATTCCATTTTCACTTTGTTTTTCACTTATAACGCCATCTTCAGTCACAAGTTGGAACTTATTACGATCAAATTCGGGGAAAAATGTATCGCATTCGAAAGTCTTCTGGATTTCAGTTAGATATATTTTATCGCAGTTGGGATGGTCCATGGCTGCCTGAAAAATTAAGTTTGTTTTTATAGTTTTAAATCGATGCTCGATCACGTTCGTTGGTAGCCTTTGTGTATTGGCAATTAGGGCCAGTGGTGCTGGGTTCAAATTCTAAACAAACAAACGTATATAGGCTGTTGCTAAACTTATCCCATTAAATTTACACATGCAATATACATGGTGTAATAAAATTATTTCCAACCTTCTGTAAAATAAAACAAATGTAAGTTTAGATCAATGTTCGGAAGGTATTATTATCATAATGTTTAATTTTTTCCACACCTTTGTTATTTTTTAAAGATGGCGATGACAAAGAAATTGACAACATTCGCAATTATCAATTATTGTGATTCATTTTAGTGTCTGTAGAATAAGATGTTTATTGTTAATTTGAAATAATGAATGTTTGTAAACTAGACTCCCAATTTTAATGAAATATTTCAAAAATGCTCTGAATGTTGCAAGCCATATTATGTTTAAAAAATGTGATTTTTTTTTATTTAAAACACTGACCAGAATGTCATCACTAACATTATTAAATAAAACTGTTTAGTAAAACAGAGATATGGAGTCTGGTACATAGCTCAAATACATTTTAAGGAAACGGATTGCAAATTATTTCTTTTCAGTAGGGAGCAATACCTTATAGATTGATGAACCACCAATAACCCATGCACCTTCTATATCTGAGCGGCCCTCTATCAATTTTATAGCTTCATCTAGATCTGGGACAACTTCAACACCTTCAGGCACCTAAAAGAAGTTCATTTAAGACTTTCTACATTTTCTGTGTAATTATATACTTTTACAGAGAATAATAATGTGTTAAAAACAGTTGAGTATTCACTTCAAAGCCTGTTATTAAAATATGATTACCAAAACAAAATTAGTTATATTGCACAACTGAATCAGCATTGCTAACAAATAAATATTACATTGCTAATTACTTAGGAAGCATTATAAATATTTTTTGTATGTCAGCTTTCTCTCATGGCCATTGCTACTAACATAATTTAATTATGTTGTTACTTAGTCAATACTAAATTAAAATAATTATAACCTTCTTTTTAACATCATCGACATTTCTTGTAAGAACTACATTAATCCTATTCGCCAAAGGTTTGTATTTAGGAGGTATACAATCCCATGTCACTCGGCCCATAATGACTGCATTCTGTTTGGATTTATCTTTGGCTGTTGATGTCATAGACGTAAAATAGGCCATTTCATTTCTGGAATTTTTGTTAAAATAGTTCATTATAAGAAAACGGGTAGTTTAAAGTCATGTAGACTTTTAAGTGTTAAGAAAATATGTTTTATGATGTATAATAGACACATATGTTACTTTTAATAGTGATATGTGATTGGTTATACTTGACTAGTTTACATTTACAAGGTTTGATTGCAAATCTACACCAAACATTCAATTCTACCATATGAAATGTTTTCATAGTAAATGTTTCAATATTCAAACCGATTAAGATAAAAACTATACACGATATATGTTCTTTTGAGAAGATAAGATTTATTTATTAGTTCTACTCGTTAGAAAGTGATTTATAATAATTTACATACTTTAATCTCCAAGGAAGAGTTCCATTTATACCGATTCCCATGTTATCGCAAGCTGCGGCTATCAAATTTAATTTCACCTTTGACATTCTTGATAAACACGTATTAAAGCACAATAAAGCGGAATAAATATATTGCACACCTTTTTAATATCAATTAAATGGACCAAAACATATAAAGAAAAAGTTGAATAAATTTAACATTGGATGACGTTTAACTTTCCCGGCAAAATAAATGTTGGTTTTGTGAAGCTGTCACTGTCAATCCATGAACGTCAAGTTGCTTTTCAAGTGTGTTTTGTTGAAAAGGTTTTTTTGGACTATAGCGACGTAGGAAAACATATTTACTGTTAGCCGCAAAATAAGAAATGTTCACCAGAGCCACAAAACTTTTGGATATTTAAAAAAGATCATATTTCAAAAACTACACATCGTAGGAACACGATTTTAAAAACGTATTTTAATTTTTTCTCGTTTTATATGTTGGCTATAAAGATATCCTACTCACTCAACTGTTGTCCGTGTTTTTGTGGCTTACAATAATTATTTTTTACTGATCAATAAAATGTTGTAACCTATATATGTTTTTTAGGTATAGTTAAAAAGGCGTAAGCCGGGATGAAGAATTGTCTTGCATTAATATTATCTCGTAAATTTCTTGTATAGGTTTTTACCAACTTACAAGAATGATTGCAACAAAGTTTTTTTCCTTAATTAAGTTACCTTGCACGTGTGAAAGAAAAACATTTATTATTTAATAATTCATGTTTCACGTTTTAGTCACGTTTGCATTTTCCTTACCAATGTTAACCACGTCGCATAAACTAATTGAAATTAAATGGCTCACTATCAGATCTAAGCAACCCGAAGGGAAATCATTTAAAAACTTAATTGAATTATAGGGTAAGTGGTCCTATTTCGGTCCCTGAACGTCCAGTGCAATTTGATATCCTATCTCTAAGATAAAAGCTTTCAACGCTGTCGGCTTTATTAATGGAAATTGCGGATTAAAAAGCTGTCATCGATGTAGGCTAATACGTTAAAGATATTGTATTCTTACGGGTTTAGACTATTTTGAATTAGTAATTATATAAAAAAAACTTAAACGTGTAAAACGCGAAATATATAAATATTTAAACATATATAACAATTTGTTGTAACTATGGCCCGACGTATCGGATGCGAAGCGTGGTCAAGAGGAGACAGGGTTGTTTTAAACCGTTAAAGTGTCTTATTTAAATGTGTACTACTCGCGTAAACTATAGCCAGTATTTAATTATAATATGTTCATTTACTTATTTTTTGTAGATATCTTCAGACAAGCAGACACTAGGTATCTTATACAGCTTTTCTATAATAAATATATTTCAAATAAAGATTTTGTTTGATAAATTTATAATTAAAAGTTGTTACTTCATGGAAATATTTTCAATGCAATCTGTCTGTACGTCACTATACAGCTAAAGAAAATAAGATTGGCGCCTGCGGTGTTCATTATAGCAATTAATATTTACAGCGGTTTGCCAATGTTTAAGAACAATAACGCTATATACAAGCTAGTCTATAAGATAAACTTATTTTCAGTCGATCAAATATATCACGTTATATTCAACTTACTTAAACTACTTAAAACTAAAACTGAAGAAAATATATTAAAAAACATGAAGAGGACATAGAGAAACATACACTACTATGATGGGGTGATGTAAAAATCCAATAATGGCATTTTATTATTCTTATGAAATGCAAACAAATAAATAAATCTGGGATGAATTGTGTGTGTATTTAGTGTAGTGGTGTTGTGTATATTAGAACGTGAAGTATTTGACATATGACATGAACAATGTTTTACCCTATTACATGCGTATTTTTATACGTTTCTTGAGTGAAGTTACAACGATATGTCAATGTCTTTGACTTTTATTGTCTATATATTATGAGTATATTTTTAATATGGCAACCAAATATTTTATATACTGTGGATGTTCAGCCATTTTGTGAATGGTAATAAAAGGGCGGCAATAGCGGTGTCGTGGTGTACCTAATTGTACTGTTCAATGTTATCTATTTTTATTAAACTGTTTTATTTTTTTATTTTTTCTTGGGTCATATTTAGTAATTCAAATTTCACTCTCTTCCTGTCAACCGATTAATCTGAAATTTGGTATACACTTTGGATTTTGGTGACAATACAACTATGTTTATTCATTATCATTATAAATCCAAGATGGCGGCCGCTACGAAATGGCGGATAACGTAGGTTTTTTCAATTCCATTAATATGGGTATCAAATGAAAGTGCTCAGCAAGCAGAATATTATATACTATAAAAAATTGAAATCCAAGATGGCGGCCGCTACAAAATGGCGGATAACGTAAGTTTTATCAATCCCATGAATATGGGTATCAAATGAAAGAGCTCAACAAGTACCAACAAACACTAAATGAATTAAAGAGAATACGAAACAAAATCTAAAAACTAGAAAATAAAAATAGGTAAAAAAACTGTTTAAGTTAAACGGTTTTATGTTAAACATACATTGCAATGTTTAAGATAAATGTACTAAAAACCAAAAAATAATAAAATAGATACAGTCTTGGGAATTATAAACATATGCATAGACTAGACTAAAATAAAACCGTGGGGGACGTCAATTGTCTGCCTAACGACGAATTAAAACCTGATCCAGTTTATATGTTTTTTTGTTTACCTACCTCACATCACTTTATAAAAATGAACTCAGGCAATTTTAATTATAATATTTAGTTACGTACAAGATGAAAATCAGCGTTGTAGCATAACTGTGCTGCAACTGATGCTGACGCAAGACGCTTTTGGCATCACTTTTCTTCAAATTAAATGCAATCTTTTCGTATTAATTATTTTATTGTAATAACATTAATTTTTTTCTAGTATTGTATTAAATAAAGAAATCTATTTTTATTATTTGAAACCTATAATTGTTGTATTACGCAGAAATAATGTGCCGTGCCTTTTCTATTAATTTTAACAAGTTGATGATTAAGAATCTCAGGAAATTACGCATCTACCGGGGAAAGGCGGGAATAAAACGCTTTATTAAGCCTACCTCATAATAAAAATCTCTAATACAATACCGTCATAGGTAGGGCTGTCATTCTTAGTTTCTTCCTGCGATTGATAATGCAATAGATAGTCAGTTAATTGTCAATTGCTATTTTTTTATCTTTATGTTTTTATTGGGTATATTCATTGAAGAGTATAAATGAGGATAGTTTGTATTTCGGCTGCTAGGAGACAGCTTATTCTTACTTTTGCAGAGAAACTCCAAGATTATTGTATTCAATACGTCTCATTAATTATTGTGATTGCACCCCTGATGTTTGCTCTTTATAGTATTCAGAATTTCTTCAATTAAATAGTTCTGAGCAGCATTCAGACTTTAGATTTCCAAATATCAAAAGAGAACTAGACAGTGCATGTTAATCTCTTAACGTCATTATTATTCAACACGACAACCCTAGTCATAAAGTTCGTTAATGACCGAGAAACCTGCGTGCGTCTTTATGCGTCATTAACCCATAAAGTGTGCTACCATATGGTTGGGGCTTGCAAATAAAATTAACTTGTCCACAGTGATTTATTTATGGGTTGCCCGATATTGAAATGGCATATTTACAATGTGAATCTTATGAGATATTCTATCTCATGTGATTCGATAATTTTCATGGAAAAATTTATGACACGGGCGGGTCTCCAAGCCACGCCGCATAGTGTATTTGAGCTACCGCTTACGTGATCCTTGATACCATGATCATTGTATTTCTCAGTCCCTCATTTTATCAAATTAATTTTCATGTGGAAATTATAGTGATTCAAGAAAACTTAAACTTTCACATGTTATTGCACATGATGGCACTGTACAAATTAAAAGACGATTTCAAATTGAAAAATTCACAACTCGGGCAGGACCTGAACCGACATCATGGGCGTTCTGTGCTGTTGCTCTAACCAAATTTACATTGCGCGAGAGGTGCATGTATCAATTTTGTGTAACACGCGATAATTTCAGAAATTATCGTTCCGATTCAATAAACTTCTTCACTGTTGAATAGCCCATTTATCTGGGTTATTATATTTGAAGGTAGAGCATCTTGCTATGACAAAATAGGACGGAAAAACAGTGATATAGAATTAAATAACGAAAAAAAGTACTATAGGTAAAAGCTTTTGTTTCGTTCGTTGCTTTCGATCTAAAGGATCTTCTTTCTATATCTATATCTAACTAAAACAACTGTGATGTAACAGTGGGCCTGGATTCGTACCTACCACAAAAATCTGTTATATAAATTGGACAATCGGTAGTATTACTTGTCAAATTAAAATTAAAATAGTTATTTATAGTGAATTACCGCATTAAAAGGTGTTTTTAGAGTTTAGACGACAGTCTGAGTCCGAGAGACATCGCGGTTCCATAATTAGATCTACTTAAGACTTAAACTGAGAAATTTTGCTCATTATTTGAACTCGGTTAATAATGTAAGTGCTTAAAACATATTACGTACCATAGAAAGCTGAATTTCGCCAACACTTCAGTGTTTCGTTCCCACTTATTAGTTTAAAAACTAACCGTAATTTACCTCGACAGGCGTTAAGTAACCGTAAATTAATATTTTAATTAATTGGCCTGTTCAATTATGATGGCAAACCAAACACTTAAAGCGGGGTGAAGTTATAAACCACATTATGAAAATTAACCGCAATTACGCGACACCATGTTTACGCCCAATAAAACATTCCCGCCAAAACGAGTGTCAAACAGAAATGTCAAATTGAAGAACGGCGCGTTCCATTTCACCTAATGAGCGCGTAATTTGATATTTTTCATATTTCTTCGGTTTGTTTCAGGCCAGGATAACGAAGAGAGAGACACACGAAAGCTGAAGTGACTTGCGAGAAAAGGAAAGCAGGAGACGTATGTACTTTCACTTATAGATTTGTTGAAATGATAGGGTCCGTCCAGCTTTTAACAGCGTTTGCTGTTTCAGTGAGCGAACGCTTATTGTAGGGAGAGCACGTCTCCCGGGGGTTTGCTTGTAAAATTCCCGTAA